TAATTGAAACTAGGTTAAAACATTAATGCGTTTACTTGAAACTGTCTCAAGATTTTGGCAAAAATTTGTACCGACTTATATAAAGCAGGTCAATAGCAAATCCCTCCAAAATAACGTCAAAAAATACAACCGACTTACAGGCGGACCGACTTATAGGCGAGTATATACAGTAGTCTTGTAGAGTAGATTTCGAATCGGAAACCCATAGCTAGCAAAGATGAAATAAGTCATCGCATATTCAAAAGTTCACTATGTGAACCGATATCCCTGATTTGGTAGATGCTGCTACAGAAAAGAAATTATTTGATCTTAACAAAGAAAAGAGAGCAAAAAGATAATTTACACAGATATTCTTCCCATCTCATTGTAAAGTAGACATGTATGCCCTCTGTTCAGACGTTTGTAATCATATCAAGGTATCCCCACCTTCATTTTGTCATTATACCGTATAGCGGGTTTCTTTAGCGGGTGTAAAATTTGAATATGGATTGCTTAATGGTAATGGCATTTCACTGATTTTGGCTGAATTTCACTTTTAAGATAACTTTCAGCATGTTCAATATACATTTGTATTACAATTTACGAAAAAAGTTTGAGTAAATACAATAACTGATGAAAGTTATACAACTGACTAATCAAATTTATACTAATTATAAAAGTGATTTTTTCTTGTATTCAGTAGTGATAATGATGGATGCAAATTCTGCAATTAAATTTTAGCAGCTATACCTAACAAAACCTCTAAAACAACCAAAGTTAGCACCCCGCTAAAAACACTGGCTATAAAATATGATCATCTTTTACAAAGAGGTTATTACAAGGAACACCAACAGACAATGTTCAGTAGATTTGAAATTTATTTCTGATAGTACAATAATTTTTTTTATCAGACAAATGGTGTAGATCACTCACCCCTCGACACAAATGATTATACCTGCTTTAAATATGGATACTGATTAAAAAACAATATCACACACACTGACAATACCTTCTGAGATCTGGCATTCTGCACATGAAGTTTAAATCGTCCACAGTGTAATAGAATATTAATTTTTTACAGATTTAGTGCAAAAAAAATCCAGTTTGTCATTACTGCTCATTCAAAGTAGAACTATTGAATAAAGATACAAAATTGTTGTTTTGGACATGAACACATGTGCACCAAACAACCTTAATACTTTTCATCAAGAAAATTCCTCATGTCTAGCTATTATAAGTTTTACTTCATATGACAGAATGTGAATACATACACTGATTTCATTAAAGACATCAAGAAATGAATATGGTTGATCTGGAATTGAACATCTGTTAAAACCCTTTCCTAATCGCTTTCTTTCATTCTGTATACATGAAAGCCCATTTTGACAAGATAAATATGCTATTCAATTTAATGACAACATAGCATCCATCTTGTCTGAATCAATTACGTACAAAATTACAAATTCTAAAATCCCCCTGAAAGTGTGGGCTTCCCTACTGCACATAAACCTTGATCTTATGCTAAACAAATAAATTCTGTTTTGTTTGAAAAACAATTTGTAAATTTGATACGTTAAAAAAAATTAATTTTAAGACCTCAGGCGCAGCATGCGACTATTTTCCAGTAAATTTTCGTACAATGAAATGTGTTGCTACAACAGTGCTTTTTGGTAGTACTATGGGCTGAGCGTACCTAGTGTAACTTATGTAACAAGAGAGACAGGGCCATAATGAAGTAGTTTTATTGTCTTACACAGTGTTCATGTTAATTAACAGACTAGCCAGGTAGAGGATGAAGTGTACATAATCCACAATGAATTACAAATTCTGGAATCTGACTGTCCACTCATGAACCATAGTATCAAATATAAAACAATTATATATACATCTAACAAAGCATATAATACATCTGCCATTTTTACAGGAGACAAATGAAAGGTCCCCTCCAAATAAAAACAAATAAAATAGTAGGAAACAAAAACTGATCATTCCTTCTTAGGAACCAGTTATGTTACTTGGCACTAAGAAAATTCAGGTTTACAAGCACTCTCTATTACTTCTCTTTCTGTATTATGTCTTACAAGATTATCTCCCCTTCTATTTTTTTTTCACCTTCTCTGAAAATGCACAATCTGGCAAGATGGTAAAAACACTTGTCAGATTTTTGTTTTGTTTATAGAGATTGAATCATCAGAGAAAACAAAATGGCACAGGATATACATGTAATTGTCATTCATGCACACATTTATAATATACAATTTGTATTCTCTGTTCAAATAATACCACTCCCTTTCACCTAAAACAAAAGTTCTTCCATTTGTTACAATTTCTTATACCCAACACATTTTACAATTTTAAGGTACAATAATCTTCTAAAGTCAAATATTTGTTACGAAACAGTTTGACAACAGTGAAAGATATGAAAAACACCTCATATGCATTCTTCATCAATCAAGATATATATCCCCATGAAAATATTGCTGTTTGGCTCATGAATTAAATAATGTGTAAAAAGAAAGAAAAAAAAAAAACCTGTTCTTTTTTTTTGTGGGAAAAAAAATTATATACTGTAAAAAGATCACACTGGACTACTCTCTCAGCACACGAAACATGCACACAAAGTATGGCCTGAAAATGCTGTGCGTCTTTGGTTTCACTCGAAGGACTGATTGATAATGCCAGAGGAGGGCCTCGGTAGCCTGAGGGGGTGGTACGTGACGTCTCTCCTTACACCAGCCTCTACCAGAGCCTTCAGCGGGATATAGCGCGCTCCGTCTTCCCCCGAGGTCTCCTGTCATTTCCTTCTTTTGCCTTTCCGTGGCTTCTTTCTTCGGGTGAAACAACAGCACCTGCGAGGGAAAGCACGAGAGGATTTGTGCAGGCAGAATATTTATTTTATTACATCCAGTAAATCTTTCGTATGGGGGTCAAATTCACTTGACCCATCACAAAACAAGTCTCCTCCATCACACAGAGTTCAGTGGAATCAGAATATAAATAATGACAATACAATAAAACGTAACACATGTATCAAGACACTAAAAGAGCCGGCATTCACGTCACATCCTCCTACAGCTCTAGTCCTAGCTGTTAAAATGCACACATTCACTTAACAATAGACTCAGTCCTCCATTTCTTATTGCAATTTAAAACTGGGAAAAAGAATACCAGACATGGCAACAATAAAATCGTCACTCATAAAAGACTGAAGTAACAAAATTTCCTTGAAAATAATTGGCTGTACATGAAGTATGGATACTTTATTAACGTGTCGTCTTCTTTTTCTTGCGTCGACGGAAAAAACAGCATCTGAAAGCAATAAAGAGTCAAGCCTACTAGAGCGAAATGGAATAATCCCACACAAGCAAACAAAGACAACAAATACTAAGTCTTCACTTAAATATTTGAAAAATTATGACTAGACATTGCTACACAGAAAACAATCAGATCTATTTGGTCCTTATTCTTTGCTATCTTGCACACATGCAGATTTTATAAACTAGCAAGTGAAACAAACATTTTTCCATTAAAAAATATGCCAAAAAATTATATATCCAACTTAAAGATACTATTCAACAAAACAGCCTAAGTTCTCATAAACTAAGTTCGGTGCCCCAGTGTACTTTTATCAGTCTTTACCTTTTGTTCTTATATCACAATGATCATATCAATAATCTCAGTCTTAGTCCCAGACCAATTACAAAATGACCTTAAACTCTGTAGACTTTGTAGGTGTCTTAATGTAATTACTCTCCTTCCATGTAGTACTGGTAAATAGGAAGTCTGGGAGCTAATTCTTCTCTTGTCTTTCTGAGTTGAAGTGACGTTGACCTACTTACTTTGTTTCATTGTCTTCCTGTTGTCTATCTTCACTTGGGTAAAGTGACCTTGACAGTTTTTAAATTTATTTGTCAGTTGTCCTCCTCCTGTCTGTCTTTACTGAGCTGTAGTGACCTTAACCTTCTTCATTTGTTTCACTGTTGTCCTTTACTGAGCCGTAGTGACCTTGACCTACTTACTTTGTTTCACTGTTGTCCTCCTCCTGTCTGTCTTTACTGAGCTGTAGTGACCTTGACCTACTTACTTTGTTTCACTGTTGTCCTTTACTGAGCTGTATTGACCTTGACCTACTTACTTTGTTTCACTGTTGTCCTCTTATCTTTACTGAGCTGTAGTGACCTTGACCTACTTACTTTGTTTCACTGTTGTCCTCCTGTCTATCATTACTGAGCTGTAGTGACCTTGACCTACTTACTTTGTTTCACTGTTGTCCTCCTCCTGTCTATCGTTACCGAGGTGTAGTGACTTTGACCTACTTACTTTGTTTCACTGTTGTCCTCTTTCTGTCTATCTTTACTGAGCTGTATTGACCTTGACCTACTTACTTTGTTTCACTGTTGTCCTCTTATCTTTACTGAGCTGTAGTGACCTTGACCTACTTACTTTGTTTCACTGTTGTCCTCCTGTCTATCATTACTGAGCTGTAGTGACCTTGACCTACTTACTTTGTTTCACTGTTGTCCTCCTCCTGTCTATCGTTACCGAGGTGTAGTGACTTTGACCTACTTACTTTGTTTCACTGTTGTCCTCTTTCTGTCTATCTTTACTGAGCTGTATTGACCTTGACCTACTTACTTTGTTTCACTGTTGTCCTCTTATCTTTACTGAGCTGTAGTGACCTTGACCTACTTACTTTGTTTCACTGTTGTCCTCCTGTCTATCATTACTGAGCTGTAGTGACCTTGACCTACTTACTTTGTTTCACTGTTGTCCTCTTCCTGTCTATCTTTACTGAGCTGTAGTGACCTTGACCTACTTACTTTGTTTCACTGTTGTCCTCCTCCTGTCTATCTTTACTGAGCTGTAGCGTAGAGTGCTGTCCCATGTCATTGTTATCTTCTGTGTTCACATCACCGTTGTTAGAATTAAGAACCTGAAAGTGATATCAATAACCTGAACTTCTGTGGTTATGTCACCAAATTATTTTGTCAAGTTTAAATATACCTGCATGATCATTAACAATTATACTGCATTACTGAAAGAGTTTTTCCCATTTCATATAATTCAAAAGAAGTTAATAATATCTAATATTTCAATAACTTTGATACATTTTTAGTTAGTCTATACTGTGGAATCAGAATGGTCAGAAAAATCTGCATTCAGCGAAGAATCTTGTGTTTATTTTATCTTGTGTTGTGTTGTAGTCACATGACAAAACCATGCAATCCAATATCTTATCTCGCTAATGCTCACACAACCGTAGAAGCTGCGTACAGATTGAGTTAATTATAATATAAAATATTTAAAATTAAACTATGGTTACCAAAGAACCAAGTGATGAAGAACAAGAAGACCTGTAGAGGTCAGGTCAAAATCATCTGAGATTAACATTAAAATATAGCATGTCATTAAGATATAATACTGCCTTATAATCCTTAATCTAAAAATGTGTACACTGAATTAATCTAAAGTATTTATAATCAAATGCTAATACTGATTAGTGTAAATAACAAAGTAAGAACATTAAATTTTCATTATTAACCAAATTCTATGACTGGTTAGTAAAATATTGATAAAGAATACATTTTCAAGTTTAACATTGAGACATCATTTCATACATCTCTAGGACTAACAAAATCGGAGTGAGATATGCAGGCTGCTAGATTGGCCGGAAAGCGATACAGAAAGTTAATATTGAGCAGAGAAGACCAGAGCTAAAGAGGAGAAAATAATGCTGAATGATAAATATACCGAATCATGTGACATAAGCATGGGATGATAGGGCTGCGTAACAAAAATAAAATACCAAAATAATTATGGACTCATATACAACAAAATCATACTCAAGTCCATGACTTGGATTTATAAAAAATAAAATTAAACACACACACAAAAAAATGTACATTGTGTCATACATTTGATAAGTGACAATGATAAATAAGCCCAAAGAAAAAATAGTATCCTCAGGGATATGTAGCTCACCTCAACAGATGCCACGGACATGTAAGGTGGTATATTTTAATGAATCAATGACTTAAACATGTGTGTTTTTGTAGATCCTTGGTTATAACTATAAATACAAGTGCCTTCGCATACATGTTAACTCTCCCGATTTAAGCGGGAGTCTACCGCTTTTTCACTCCATCTCCCGCCTACCGATTTAATGCAGAAATCTACCGCTTTTCTACAAAAGCTGCGTCTAAAGTATTTTTGGTTCGCTTGGGTATCCATTTTTGAAGCCACTCTCATAAAATCTCGCTAGATATCGCGTGATTTGACTCGGAATCATACAAACGCTTTTTTTGTACTTAGATTTCAAGCACGGATTTGACAACGACAACAACACAAGACTACCAGTGATTACATTGGTTACGATAAATTAATCAACATCCCTGCCATGAGAAAGGAGATACAGCTTTTAAGAATTAGATGAAAACATTTGACATCGTCTTTAAAAGCACAGAAGCTCACAACTTTATCAATAAAGTCAATAGAAATCACTCGATTGACCAAGCCATGTGGCACATCTCTACTTTCGTTTTCGATCATCGCGGGAAATCTTATTTATATAACGAAAGATACGAACTTGTTTTAGATCTAGATTAAACCATTTTATCATTTGTTTTGTTTAAAAACTGAATGAATATTTTGAATTATTGCTTCTAGGCTATATCAGCAAAGATCACTCTTCACAAGGCTAAGTAAAGCAGCCAATCCAAGCAAAATGATGAGCATGAAAAATATTTGAATTTGTACAATTTATGTCAAATTTAAGGTGTTTCTGTCTTCTTCTTTGCTGTTGATATTTAAGATTAATAAGTGTAGGTACCTGATTTCATTTAAGACTTATAATATACATGTATATTACATGAAAGATATCGATAATCCAAGCGTTAAACAACACGCGCACAATGCTACCGCTTTTGAGGTCTGAATCTCCCTCTTTTTCATCACAATAGGTTAACATGTATGGCCTTCGTGAGGCATCAAGTATCAAATAAATATGGTCCAGAAAGCAGTAATTCTCTTTGTAAACATCTACAGAAAATTGGACTTTATTGTATAAAATATAAATTCAGAATCTAATTAGCTGATTTATTAAATCAAACAAGACTGTTACTGAGGATTAGATTTGAAAATGCTTCACTGTTATTAATTGATAAGGTATACAGTCTATGAAAATGGGTGACAAAGTCAAAAATTGTATCAGCATCACAGATCTAGGCAAAGTGTAGTCAAATTTACCATGTACTATTAAACTTAATGAGAAGTGGGTTTATCTTTAAAAACTTTCAGATGAGTCAGGGCATGTTGTCGAAGTGAGCTCAATCAAGAAAAATAATGCATAAAGCACAAAATCTCCAAGCTTCTTTGGTTACCCAGGCAGAAGTTGCACAATGGCATAAATCAGCATATCAACTAGACCTGGACAAAAAATTAAATTCCCAAATGGGATTTGACAAAACATGAGAAAAATGGAGGGAAATGGATAGCATTACCTGTACTGAGCCCCCATGTCTATCCGGTGCGAGGTTGGCACCCAGATAGCCAGTGTTGTGTCGGGAACTCTCGCCCCATGCTAGCCCCCTTTGATTTGTACCGGGCTGAAAGGCAAATTAGTGTCATGTGCAGAAATGAATGACAGCTATACAATTTAATGAAGTCATGGAAATGCTAGAATCCTCCTACATGCCAGGCAGTCTAGCAGGTACTTGTAGTCTAGGTCTAGCAGTCAGTTCAGGACTACAAATAATTTGACAGCTTCTACTTTGGCTTCGATAAAGGGAGATAAAAAATAATAGATCTTATGGACTTAAAAAATCCTGTTGAATCAAATTTAGAAGATCTAGCTTCTGGTCATATAACATTGAGACTTGTTTTAATATGGAATATGACAACTTTGATAAACTGTCAATGACTTAGGAAGCTGCTCTGCATGGGGGAGAATTCTGCTGATGACCTTCAAGGTTTAGGCTGCTGTAATGGTACTAATTATCACACATAATCTTCTTTCTGAACTGAAGAAAAACATCATGCATAACCGACAATATTCTGTGAGAATGATGTGTCTGAAAAACATTTGCTACACATTAGGTTTACAGCAAAATCACTTTCCATTATACCTGCATATAATACTCATAGACCATACATGTATATAAATTAACAAAATTAAATTTTAGTGCAATCACTAGGAACTGAGTGGTTGGCATAATCATTAAATAGCAATCCATATGTCTTCGTCTTGTATTCATAAATAATTTAGTAAAGGTATTAATGAATCAGTGCACTGCAATAACTGCTAAAATATGAAGCTCATTTGTTTAAATTTTAAGTATACATAGAGTATTTTGTCACCAAATGAATTATCTACTGATTCACAGATATTATGGGAAGATTTAAGCTGTAGCTAGCAGTTCACCATAACCATGGATTACAATATTTTTATGAATCATTGTATTACAGTTTTCTTCAGGGAATCTCATCTGAATTCAATGTCTTTTTAAATGAACATAAGCCCCCCTCCCAAATTTTCTTTGCCAATTTTTATCTTCCCATTTAATTTAAGAACCACCTCTTATTCCATAAGGAATGACCAAAAAATTCTAGTTTAGGGCATATACCTGACAAATTGACTAAGTTGAGTATAGGGAATAACCTCTCAACAAATGGATTAATGAAAGTAGATATACCAGTTAAGGACAGGTATCTTTCCATGTGATATGATTGAGTATTGAATGAATTCAAACAAGTATCCCCAATGTTAAGAAGTAAAGCTACCTATAACATTGCTAAATATGAACAACATATAAAAGACAAGCGGTACAAGAGCATGAAGATGGACATTTAGCGTCATGACAATACAAACATCTCTAGCCAGCATGCATATCATATATCACAGAAAATGCAGACAAGATTTCCTTCTAGGTCTGATAAAGCCACATGTACAAATACAGCTGACTTTGTTAATTAATAAGACAGTGTTCACTGCAGCCTGAATTTTCACAATAAATGAATACAGATAAAAAACATAAATCAAATTATTTCTAACTTTAAATATTCTGTCTTACTGCAGTAATAAAACAATTAAAATGGCACATGCTTTTTTAAACACCATGTGCATGATTTAGTATTTCTTTTCAAAAACATATATATTTAAATGATTTTGAACTACGTAGCAATTTATGCCACATGGATGTTAAGCTTCTGTTAATGTGGTATGTACTAATGATGTCTCAATACCTTGGTGTAGAAATATCATAATAAACTGTACACAGTGGGAAATGAAACTGATATCTAAAGACTTCATTTTCTTTCCCTTCCCTCTCTAAAATGTTTTCTTAAGCTGTAAATCTATTTGTAAGCCATGCACACAACACCCAAATTGTTAGCTTGGACTTTTCACTGGTATCTAAAACATTTATTCTACAAGTGCAAGATAAATTTTTCAAAGGTTTTATCAAACAAATGATAAGAGTGGGAATAAAATATTAATAATTAATGAAAAAACTTTTACATATTCTGAAATGTCCAAGGTTTAGGATAGTTGATTTAACACGCAAAATATACCCAACATGCAAATATAAAGCGCGCATAACAAGCTAAATGGTACAAGGTTATGAGCTGAAACGAATATTTCCACACAATGCATAATAACTAAACCACTAAAAAATTGGAATTATTTAAATAATAATTTTAAAATACAGGATTGTTAGCAGGATATTCTAGTGATGAAGCCTAGCTTCCTAGACCCTGATAAAATTGGGTCAGTTACTCCTATTACCGTTCATTAACTGAAGTGAGCATGAAATCATGATTATTTCCCTTGCCTTATAAAAAAGCTAAAAAGTTTAGGATCTTGGAGTGGCCAAATAATTTATAAGTAGATCAAATCCAAAACCCCACACCAGTATAAGCCATCCCTATCTTTAATTTTTAACAGAGTAGATATGTGACGGTATATTAGTTGTCCCTTTCTAAAGAACCACATTACAATTCAGTGTTTACACTATATTTGATACACTGCATGCATGATAGCACCGTTATAATCCTTTGACTCATTCAAAACAGTATTCAGTGACCATATTTTCTGTAGCTGTTAAATTATGAGGAATATTCAAAAATCAGTTTCATTCTTCAGATCATTTTATGTAGATATGCTAAAGATTTAGAACATAACCTTTTTACTTCTAGTTTGTTTCTTCTATAAATTCAATAAATAAGTGCATAATTTGCAAGTTTTACTTTCTTCTCTCTATATACATGCAGTGTACCAATGTTAGAGTCCAGTTAAAATCTATCTTTGGTTTGTTAAGATTACACATTAATGGGGAATAACTCAGAATCAGGGATAGGTACATGTGTACAAGGATTTCAATCTTACCTCATGAGCCCTTTGTTTACTCTGAAAAAAATTAACAAGTCATAGCCCCCTGTATGCATATTCATAAGTTTCTAATGGCAATTTACATTAAAAACTTTTATAGACCAAACTTGAAAGATTTCATCATAAAAAAATTAATTATTCTGAATTCTAGTCCCCTTTTGTATCCCTTTGGAAATCTTGAAATATTTATCATAGTCCGAAATTTACTGTGAACCTACACTGTGTATTATTATTAAATGTAAACATCTGTTTAGGCCATATAAAATTGAAATCTTGGTTCTCAGGCCCGCGCGCACCCGTTTTGAGGTAGCCGCATTACCGATTTTATTGAATTTTTGATAAAATAAAAAGTTGGTATTGCGGAGACCAATAAAAAAAATATTTTATTTCAGTTTAGTATTCAAATATCACTTTCGGTAGCCATTTACAATGAGATTTTGGCTACTTCGTTTGAAAATACATTCGAGGACATTACCTACGATGTATGTTATATACAGCAGAAATTTTGATGGAAAGTATATCTGTGATTAAAAAAATTATCCTTATGTTAAAAAAAATAAATTAAAATTTTCCCTCATCTTCTTTATTGCCAATAAAATGAAAAATAAAATGCCGCCCTCCCGCATCTGTTTTGGAGGAAATTGGCCTGAGAACCAGGGAATTAAATTTAGATAGCCTTATATTCAAATTTTCTCTCAAATACTGATCCTTACTTGGATATAAAGAAACTTTAGGGATTCGCTTCAGCTCTTGGATATAATTAAACCATGCACCATGATCAATGACGCAGAAAAAGAGCTTGACAGAAAAAGCTGATGCGACACAGCAGCAACAAGAACAGAACAGTTAGAAATGACCAAGACAAAAAGGCAAACCCAAACCTCATAGCCCATTGTTAACCTGTGCTTTTCCTCAATATGTGAAGCCAAATTGTCACATAAAGCTTCAAAATTGTAATTAGTGGGCATGCAAATAAAACTTCAGTCACATGACAATTTCTGAATGTTCAATAGAAATCATATGACCAGGAACAGAACTTGTTATTGGTCAGAACTTATCAGCTGACTACTGGCTGGATCAGTCCATTAGGAGGGGGGTGTTACCTTCTTTGGTTGTGGGTGTCTTCCTGGTGCTCCCTCGTTTGTCTTGGAGGGTCCAATAGGGTCCTGGGAGGGAATAGGTACCGGTGTGGACTACAATAAGATTGAATATGTTTATTATTCCAAATCAGGGCCCTTTTGGGCATATTACATACATGATTATTAATAAAGTGCCACGCCACAGCATGATACGCCCGTCAAAAAATTACAATTAACTTAAACAGTTTAGAATGCAAGAAAATCATGTAAACCTTGATTCTAAAATTTCCATGATTTTTTTTTTTATTCCTTAAAATATTTGTTTATCCATCGATATCCCCTGTGGTGTAGGCATTAATTATAACAAATTACATCATTGATAGATTTCTATACTGGTTGTATTAGACCTTGTCAAATGCCCATCATATTAAACAATATCAAATTAGTCTTAACAACTTAATCTATACCAAATTAATTTTGAAAATAAAAGGCTGGGCCATCAAATGACATATGCTATTTAAACTGACCAGCAGTTCTTCTGTCTAATTCTCAAAGGATACAGATAAGAAGATGCTAGCTAGCCTTCCTAAACTGAACTCATTAATTAATCTTTGACTGGATGCTTGTCTTCTCATTACTATAGATGAATGAATCTGCACTATCTACCATAAAATATTTTTGAAACATATAAAATACTCAATGATTTTTTTTTTTAACATTTAATGTCAGAAAGGTTTTAATATGCAATTTCTATGGAAAATGGACATGCTGATTCCAACCCTATGAAATTAGTTTTTTAAATTAATAATATTATATAATATTAGATTAGTTTATTAATGCAATATCAAATTAGTGTTAATTACTTTTCATCAAAATCATTTTAAAACTTAGGCTAGAGCTATTTTTAATCCAACAGGCTTACCCATTGCCCAATTCCCAAAGGGATACAGATACCGATTCTCTAGTTTGCTCCTCACACTAAACATTAATTTCTCTCTAATTTGAAATGCAATTTTCTGTTATCAAAACTCTTGACCAGTGCTTGATAATTACACTCATGGGAGACATGGGATTTCTCTAACATACATAATATCTGTTATAGATTGCTGTCAAGTATATGCTGAAAAAAATAAGTATTTTCTTGATTTAACACTTTTTTAATAAGGATACAACTAAAATTTTGCATTTTTTAGGATTATGAAATTCAAAATTTAAAAGACTTAGTTTTTTAAAAAAATTCACTTAAATTAAAGGTCACAGTGACCTTGAAATAGGTAACACCTCTACCCAAGATGTATACAGTTGCCAAGTTTGATAGCTCTAGGTCTAATAGTTTACAAGTTATGAGCCGGACAGGATTTTTCCATATTTGGCCATAGCATCTTAATTAAAGGTCAGAGCGACCTACTTTTTGTGCGCGACACACCGTCTACCCAAGAAGTATCAGTTGACAAAGTTTGATAATCCTAGGCCTATTAGTATTGAAGTTATGAGCCGGACAGGAATGGACAGTATCCACTATAACATAATACGTCCCGTCTTAAGACGGGCGTATAAAAAGAACATGTAATTATTTACAAAATGTGATATAATAGTAGTATTAAGCATATTCTTAGTACATGTATATACTGGCCCAAAATGATCTGATCCCTACCTATGTTTGTGTTCTAATTTCTAAAAAGAAAGTGACTCTATCTGGGCCTTTGTTGTTCAAATTTTTATTTCTGTCATAACTTGTACTTTTAAACAAACATAACAAAACCACAGCACAATTCCTAAAACATGTGTGCAAAACAAGAAGAAATGAAATCCATCTGAGGACTTGAAAGTTGACTTGAGTATTTTAAGTTTGCTGTACCATATATTCAATCTCTTTTAGTCTCATTACATAGTAACTAACTGCCCAGACTACCCCTCTGAGCGAGCACGACATTTTACCTTACTCACCTGTCGGCCCACCCAGTCAAAATCCCAGTCACACTCGTATCCCTTCTGGTACATGAGATCAGTAAACAGTCGTCTCAGATAGTCGTAGTCCGGCGTCTCAAAGAAGTCCAGTCGCCGAACGTACCGCAAATACTGAGCAAATTCCTCTGTAATAAACCAATTAATCAATGTGATTCTAAAACAGTGCTCTACTTACACAAGCGGTGATAATTTTATTTCTCTCTAATCTTCACAAAAAATTTAGAATTCAAGCCTTTTATTACTTTATGTCACAAAGAATAGAATTGAGATGTCATTGTTTTCTTTAACATTCTAAAAACAATATTTTGACAAATCCCATGTAAATATTCAGACAACTGATGTCCTAATAAAATCAGTTCATTGTAAGAGGACTTTCGGTGGGTCTACCTGGGAAGTTTTCACACAGGACTTCTATAGGTGTAGCTCTCTTTGTATCCCCGATCTTCTGGTAACGTTCCTTTAGCGTGTCAGCCTTTAGTCCCTGCCACGGTAAACTTCCTCTCAGGAAATACATGAACATGTGACCTAGCGCCTCTAAGTCGTCCCTCCGACTTTGTTCTACAACAGTCAGTAATACATTTGTAAAATTATCAGGCATTATTCTGCAAAAATTCGTAATCAATTTATACATGCGCTTTATCAGCCAATTGATACACATCCAATATATCAATTGATACACTTACCTTTTCCTATCATTTTTTTTTAGCAATAGCTAAGTTAACTATAAAGTAATACACACTAAATGGCTCGGAATAACATATACATCTCCATTCTTGTTCAATAGCAGATGATTAATTCATATATTATATATATATAATTTTATGTCTGTTAAATGAAAAACACTTCCATAAATGTCAAGCTAGCACTCGTTCATAATTATAACATATACTTTATATACACTATACTATATCATTTACAAAAAAACACAACCGTTACAATTCAATAATTACAGTTCCTAATTTAGTTTAAAATCAAAACCTTTCAAATTCTGATTGTACATAATACATTTTTTTTTCAAACTTCTTGCTTATTAGAAATGTAATCTCTCTGTCAGTCCTAGTTATCAGACTTCTTACTTTCAAATGGTAATACCCCCTTCCACACACACACACATAACCAGTATACCACACCCTAACACTGATGAGGTACACTTACCTTTTCCTAAATGTGTATTTATACTCATGTACCTCGCGGTACCGGTAAGGCTTTTATGTTCTCTGTAAGGTATATGTTTGTGTGTTTCACTGTCTATATACTCTTTGGCTAAACCAAAGTCTATAATATGTATGATATGTTGCTTGTTCGTGGACTGGCGTCCGATTAAGAAATTCTCAGGTTTCACGTCCCTGTAAATCAGATGTTTTGAATGCACATATTCCATCCTTGAAATCTATAAAAAAAAACAGCATATTAGGATTAGCCATCAACTAAATAAGAAATTCTGTACAAGACATTCTATGACTAAGAATGCCAGATTTAATCTTATAATGCCTTTAATGGCTTTTGGCTTCTTATATCAATACAATCCATTACAAAACATAAATATCAGCAAAATACGGGTCTGCATTGTATGTAATAAAGTAAGCACTCACCAGTTGAATGGCTATCATTAGAACAGTCTTGAGGGAGAATTTTCTGTCACAGATGTCAAATAAATCCTCTAAGCTTGGCCCCAGTAATTCCATCACCAATGCATTGTTTTTAGCACTTGGTCCAAAATAATACACATTAGGAACACCCTCTGAAAAATCAATTTAAATGTGTAAGTTTGATTCATCATCTACACGATAACTCTATAATAATGTTAACTGAAATAAAGTTTTGTTTAAACCATATCTCTAGAACTTAAACTGTACAGCAGATTAAAATGTGTCTTTTATTATTTTAAGGATCCCAACATGCAATATTGTCATCATATTCTTCTTTAATAGAACGGCTTTATCTTTTAAATTTTGCCTTATTCCCATTTCATGTATTAAATACATGTATTAAGAACTTTCTTGCACAACTTCTTGTACAGCTAATACATTGCAAAAGTTTAATAAACTAAATATGAACTAAAAACCTATTTAATGCCCTTTCTCTGTCCTGTGTTGTTTTAAAATGCTTTGAATAGCATCACAGGTTATGTAATATACAAATACACTAATCAGTACATGTGACAGATTTAGAATTCCAAAATCAATAAATATAGTGACGAACACCTCAGGTTCCAATGGATGAAGGATATTAAATCAAGGGAAGAATAGATAATCTTTTTATTAACTGGTCACCAGATAATAGGGTTTTAAACTGATTCTGTTTTGATGAGGATTGTGGTAGAAGATAAGGGTAGGGACAGATTTGTGGGTTCTTTTACTTCAAGGTTCTGATTGGGATATACAGGTAGCGGGCTCTGTTACTTCAGGGTCCTCGCTGAACCACTGACACAGTCCCTAGTTATACAGTATTAACACATTTCCATGGGTCCATGTTTGGGTTAACAACTGACCGGTGTTTACCTGTATATCATAAGTCCTTCTCAATACAAGCATTACACATTTGTACACACTGTCTTTAAAGGACATTTATAATATCACTTGTCAATGAATCAGTTTACAGGTCAGATGAGAAGCCCTCTCAAAATATATAATTTTTCCTTCATCACATTTGTCCCACTGGACCGAATATTTTTCGCACTTTTCATCAACAGCTTTAAGGAAAATACTTACATCTGATTTCTCGACAATGCAATGCACTTTTTGTTATCCAATTTTTTTTATTACATGTATGTTTATCTGACACTGACATTGTTTTAAAATTGTAATGTTTAAAGCTTATGGTAGTATCCATTTAAAAAGAGAAAAAAAAAAACTGATGTTGGAATTATACAATTAATTAATTTGATATTGAATTGATATCAGCCAACTCTTGACAGAAAAGTTCTCTTGATTATATATTTTTTTAAAAGGGGGGGGGGGGGGGGGGGCTATAGACCTAGTTAAAAAATATGACATTTTTTAAAAATGGAAATTTTCATCATTTCATTAATTAATTGTGAAAAGAAGTAAATTAAAAAGTAATGAAAAATAATTAGGTTTGAAACTTGACTTTATTTTAACAATTTGGACTCAAGGGTTTAGATGTGATTTTGTTATTGTAAATATAATTCAGTGTAATTTACTAACTAAACTTAAATTTAAATATGTTTCCAAACCAATTTTTTTTCACTCTTTGTAAGTTAATGGTATATTGATGTACACATTTTTCAATTTTCAGTAGGTAAAATTTGAAGCCAATCTTCACAATTTTCATATTTACTTTCTTTAAAAAAACATCATTAAATTTTGTTGATAAAAATCTTTTATTTTCAATTTCATCTCCCAATGAACTTTCCCCCTTTTGTTTAATCCAAATTATATTATTTCAATAATATGTAACCCTTTTTGCTCCATAAACTGTCATCTGTCATACATGAGTGATTTCCACATGTAGGTTTCAGTTTTCACACCTCTGCTGCATTAAGTAAACAAAGGGACTTATCTGTGTACATTGAATAAACAAAGGAGCTAACCAGGACTACACAAATTTTGTACATGGTACATCTAAAAAATTCATTTTCGCCACTTATGAATTTCTGTTACAACTTTTGAAAAAAATTAGCAATGTGCTGTAAGTCAAACAGCTCGAGCCCTGCTTCATCATCACTACTTAAAAGTAACTTAACAGAAAATTATTTAAAATGTACAGCTAGAGTACAATTTCCTTCCTACATTTAGCCTTAACTTTAGCTAGATTAGATGAGTATCTTCCTCCCCCATTAAAAAAGAGAATTCATTAAATAACAATTTATGCTGCCCTTTCATTTTTTTTTGAAGTTCAGAACTATCAGAGGAATATGTTAAGTCCTTGCACTTTTGTTAAAATTTAGCTTTAGGCATGTAATGTTTTTGCAATAACTCTAAATATGTAGGCATTGTTTTTTAATCCCATATCTAAAAAAGTTTGAAATTTATAAAGGAAACTGACTCAATTCAGATGTGATTTTGGACTTACAAATAACACTTGCAGTACTTTTTAATGTTAAACTTATTAAATTCATGGCATTGCTGAGATATCAAAACAACAATCATCCTAATTAGTTATGCAAATCTGACATTTTACCTTGACAAGCATTTTCAATAACAGTGCTATGCCTAGATTCCATATATAATGTGATCATTATAATGTTAATTAAGAACTTGTTTGTTTCTCTTTTGTGACAAATCAATGACCCCATTGGTTCCCTTTACATCACAGCTCCCCACACTGTGAATTCTCTCCTCAAAAGAATTGTTCTAATTGTCGGGAAGGTTTTGTTTACTGATGACTGTACACACACACTTGCAGCGAGATCTTCCTGTACTTGGTAATAATGAAGGCCCTTGATTAAGGAAGTAATATAAATAACTTCAGAAGCGAGTCGTTATATTGTTTTGTTTTTTACCAACTCTGATGATCGCCTAGTGTTATTGACCTTTGACAAAAATCGGAATAATGAAATCTCTAAAGCATGACTCATACATGTAGAGAATTAATTAGAATTTCAGCTATTAAAACATATCTGACGTTCTTTTCATTTGACACAAATCCTTGTATTTAATTAATTATTACATGCAAATCCTATTAATAATCTACACTTAAAACCATCAAGTAAATCTTAAGCATATATGAAATACATAACACGCTTCAGCATATATCTTCCCTAACTACTCCAGTACAACTTGCTTTTCTTCAAATTTATTCTATTTTAAAAGATAAAGAGATAGGCACCCCTGATTAGGATAAAATTCCAGGTACATTCTCAGATACCCAGGTCTCAGCCTCTATGAACATCACTATCTAAACGCTATAAACAGCCATTATCTGGACTGGGTCTTCACACACATTTTACAAGGTATTATCACTCAATTCAACAGCCTGCCTGTTTTAGACTGCAATAACATATCTAATTCTTCACTTATTCTGGGCTTCATAATGCCAATATTTGTGAATGCAAGACAGATTCAATATCTGACTTGCTTTTTTGGGTTGAGATGAAATTATTAATCTTCCAGTAACAATAATGTATCGCTGCCTTATATGGATGTGAAAAACAACTTATCACAATGGTCAATATTCTAGTGATGAGTTCTCACCCACTCCCTACTTTTCCTTTAAGCATTAAGTAACTAGACACACCCCTTTTTCAACTGAACTGCAAAAAAAACTCCTCCTATATTTCATATGAAATTTTCTGGTGCATCTCAGTGAAGAATTGACCTGTTAATAAGAAATAAGCTTACCCGCTTGTCCAAGCTGTTTATAGAATCTGTACTCCAGGTGTAGCTGGGGAGCTCGGGATTTCATCGGCTCCTACAGAAAATACATGGAGTTAATAAAACATTTATCACAAAATACAGAAAATACACCAAAGGTTAATAAAACATTTATAACAAATTACTTTATTTTATTTTTTATTTGTTCTTTTTCAATGTTCTTGTGAAAATTAATTACAATTTCTGAGTTTTTTTTCTCTTGAAAATAGATTTCATCATTTCTAAATATAGCTCAGCTTCCTCGGCTTTCATATGTATACAAGTGTACTACATGTATATTTAAATCTTGTGAATAAGCACAAAGCAGGTGTAACTTGTAATTTCATGGTGTCATTGTCTTTAAAATGATGTGTAAAGTCTAAGGCCTGTTGAGATCAACAGATATGAAATTCTATAACAACTTTGCTTTTTTCCAAGTCAAGTTTAATAAACTGAAACATGGAGAGGGGGATGGAGCATCGCGGCGGGCCTGTAATTACTGCCCAGCTCATTGTCAATGTCTCGTGGTGTCTCGGTGGAATCTCCTTGGAGAAATATATGCCTCTCTTCATGCAGTTTTACCGATTATCACCCGCCCACCTTGTCTAAATGCCTGACCCCTGGGGCTTTCTCTGCACTGTTAGATGGCTGTACTTGTCTACACACATTATCTTTGTCTAGGAAATATATCCTTCCCTCACCACTGATCAAGGATTAGCAGGCTTCAGAGTATTGATTCACACTTGAAACGGGGTTCAATAGATATTGTATGGTTTATCTGTGGTACAGAGATTTAGCCACTAAAGCACGACATGATACCAATCTCTCCACAGCCAGTCTTATTACAGGGGCAGTATAGGCTAATGGCCAAAGAAAGTCAGATTTACCAAAACCCAATTTACCAATTCAGAAAAATTTTGAGCCCTTGTATACAAATCAATATTCACAATAATGAACATGATTCAGATTCTTGTGACTGTAAAATAAGATCTTGTGTATGGTGTTGCTTGAAGTGGTGTGGGTTTAAATGACCTTATGACCTATAATCTGCTATCATGACAGCTTTTTACTTATCAAATATGTCTTAAGTTTCTTTCTTTCAATGCAATAATTCCTAATTAAATCATACCAACAAAAGATCATAGTGGCTGACATGTACACATTATGTACTCTAACTTACTTGCAATGTTGGCCATTGTTGGGGGCTGGTCATCCCAGACGGGAAGATTCATTAGGGAATTGTGGGAATTTGTTGGGAGATATTGAATGTGACAGTATTTGGGGAATGATAACACAACACACAGACAGACAAACAATGAATGACCCCTCAATAGCACAGTTCACTATCGCAATATACACCAAGGCTTTACTTACACATTTCACTGCCACATGTTCATTGTTGTACAGATTCTTTCCTACAAAAGAGAAAAAAAACATTTAGAAATAAAACAAGAGTGAATCACAATATCAGACCATGTCAGATGTGATATTATAGTTGTCCCCTGGGAGAAGTGATCTGTTGATGAAACCAAATCAACATAATGATTCCTGTATCAGTGGATCTACCATCTTATATAACTAAGAACAATGCCTTAACAATTGTCTGCAGGGTTATCAATCAGCAACCTCAGACATCAAAACTATTTCTCCATTAATTCATAAATCTGGAATTTGATATTTCCCTTCCCTACAACAGCATGCAATATAGATGTAATAACTATCCACATGACCAAGACACAACATAAAAGATCAGCGGGATTTTATTTAGATAAATCATAAGACAACATCGAATCAGACAAACTCTCAATATTCTTAAACTAAACTATAAAGTTACTGATAACAAAATTTGTGCAGTTTGTAAACGTATTTATAGTGTTTGTGTGAATGTCATTCACAAAACATTAAAGAACACTTGTCTTAAGAAATATCACCATGCAGTGGTGATAAATGTTTGTATAAAAAGCAATCATTCAAGAATTTCACTTGTTTAAATTCTTTTCTCTCCATCTTTTTAAAGATCAAATAAACCCAATACACAGTTCTGTTACAGCGTGGCTGCAGAATCAATGCTATTTACATTTATCATTGATGTGGAAATTAAATTTAACACATTCCTATACCAGAGCTCACTGCTGACTTGTTGATGACAAAACAAGCCCTTCACCGGACAATTTTATTTGAAGAGCAAAACATCCTCTTTGGATACATCAGACAAAATGAGAATCACAATAAAGCTAAATACATGTACAAAGCAATGTGTGCTAAATTTATAGACTGTCCTTCTAAGATTATCTGATGGCAAGGAGAGATTTTGTAGCCTGGCCTGAGTTTACCAGATAAAACTCTACTTATAGACTAATCAATGAATAATCCATATCATCCTATCATGGAGAAGCTTTTCTGTTTGCTCTTAAGATAAAAAAAAAAGAAAACCCACAAAGACTGTCCATAATTAGGCCTGTCTGGCTAACTTATCAGAATTGAACTAACTAAAAGGAAATAACTTTTAAATTAACATTCAAGTCAATAAATTAAATTTAAAAAATCTTTATGTAAAATACAGCAAAATAAAATTTCATAAAATAATCTATATAATGTGCTGCTGATTCAAAATACTGGCCCTGCTGCTGATTCAGGAGAATCTACTGGCCCTGCTGCTGATTCAGGAGAATCTACTGGCCCTGCTGCTGATTCAGGAGAATCTAATGGCCATGCTGCTGATTCAGTGACAAGGGTGGGTACAAACAAAATCAGAGGAAAAGAATCAAGAACTTTTATCCTAATTAAATATAGAGTTAGGGGTAAATGAGCTATTTAGTTAATAAGCCCCAGTGAGCAATGACACCCAGTACCTGTAATAACAGGTACAAAGAACTTGTGACCAGGGCTCCCACTGGACCGAAAATGTTTTTCGCCACTTTTCGCGACAAAAGGAAAGGCATACTTACATCTGATTTCTCGACAATGCAATGCACTATATGTTATTCAATTTTTTTTATTAAATATATCACAGACATTGTTTTAAAATTGTAATGTTCAAAATCTTATGATAGTATCCATTTAAAAAAAAAAACTACTGTTGGAATTATACAATTAATTTGATATTGAATTGATATCAGCCAACTCTTGACAGAAAATCTCATGATTATTATATTTTTTGTTTTGCCTGAGAAAGGGGGGGGGGGGGGTACAGACCTAATAGAAAATGTATGACATATTTTTAGAAATGGAAATCTTCATCATTTCATTAATTAATTGTGAAAAGAAGTTATCAAAAAGTAATAAAAATTAGGTTTAAAACTTGACTTTATTTTCACAACTTGGAGACTCCAGGGTTTAATATGCAAGCTCATGTAAATAAATCAGTGTAATCTTCTTAGATAATTCTGTTTTCAAACCAATTTCTTTTTCACTCTATGTCAGTTTATGGTATAATGTGCACATTTTTCAATTTTCATTAGGTAAAATTTGAAGCCATTCTTTACAATATTCGTCATGTTTCCCTACTTTCGATTTTAAAAATACGATCTAAATAGATCCATATTTTGTTGATAAAAATCTTTTATTTACAAACTTCATCTCCTTATAACACTTTATCCGCCCTTATTTAATCCAAATTAATTTATTTCAAGCAATTTTGTAACCCTTAATTGCTCCAGGCTAATTACCTAGTGTGTGTTCCCAGACGTGATCTCCTACATGTAGGTTTCAGTTTTCACACCTCTGCTGCATTAAATAAACAGAGGGACCTGTATACATTGAATAAACAAAGGAGCTAATCAGGTCTACACAAATTTTGTACATGGTACACAAAAAATTCATTTTCGCCACTTATGATTTTCTTTTCGCCACTTTTGAAAAAAATTCGCAATTGGCGACAATGGCGAATCACAGCTCGAGCCCTGCTTGTGACATTTTGGGACATTGACCTTTCCTTCCTAAAGTGACCCTGCAGTATATCAACCAGAGGAGGTCATAAAAATTTATTGTATTTTAACAGCACTTTACAGTTGAAGCCTTATAAAAATGACATCTAATAAATTTTTTTCCTGCTGAGTGTTTGCATCCTTAATTTTAAATAATATACTTGCAAGATGAATGATTCAATGCATATAATTTAAAGTATTTTGCAAGGTTACAAATATTTTCAGTGAATTTGATTCAATCTTTATCTCTCAAGACAGAATTTCTTCTATCATATGTATGCCCTTTGCTTTCTGTGTCATTTAGTTAAATCTGCAAGGATCCGACCTAAAAATCAATATTTACCACAAGCTATAAGTAACTTGGAGGAAATGGCCTACTCTCTCTTTCTCATGTCTTCCTACACTTCAAGGTTATTGTGTACTAACTGTTCATACAAAGCCTACATGGAAATGAATTGTACACCAAAAAGACAATCAACAATTATAACATACGGTACTTATTTTTTTTTCTCTAAACAAAGCAAAGTGCAGTAATCTAACACAGTCTAAGCACAGCATAAAAACCCCTAAACCATGTAAACTGCTGATTAAACAATAATATCACACACACAGCCAATAGCAGCCATACAAGGGTAGCCTCCACACAAAACATGTACACTGATGGTAAAGCATGGCATCGTAAATTCTACCTGACCATATACATGTTATGATCAGCTGTAATTCAGCACTCAACTCAACACAGACTCTTTATACATGTATTATGTAGTTTTTAACACATGTTCAGAGAGGAAAACTCCGCATCAGCAAATCTAGAAAGTATTAATAAGTTTAGAAGAAATAATTTACTTCTATAGTCAAAATGTAAATTCAAATAGTAACTATAGGATATATTGAATAAAAACAAGAAGCAGAGTGGGTGACCTTGAATTATTTTGAAGGCATACTTGTACCTCGTCTTCACGAAAACCATCTATAGTACTGTATTCATTTTTTTAAGTGGTTGATTATAACCACCCAATTAACACCCTAGACGCAGGAAGCAGTAACTGATTCCAACCGATGATCGATTATGAAAATTAACCGATGTCCCATCACTATCTTCTACAGCTTTTCTCTGGAACTTAATGTGAATATTTACCTCTCTCACAAAATTTGGTCTGAATGTAAACATCCCCCCCAATGGCCCATATGATTTTACATTGTCAATTCATATTGATGTACATTTTGTTGGTCTCATGCATGTGTTGTTTAATCCCTACCATCAATGAAAGTGAAACACACACACACAAACACAGTATATGTATATAAAATGGGGTTTCTGTGACCCTGGCTTAGCTAAGTGATAAAACACATGTACACACAATTACACGAACAGCAGTGATTGCTGCTTCATAAACCTGTCATCAAAAAACCAAATATGGTTTAATATCAATTAGTGATCAAAGAATCCATGTGTAATGGCCATAAAAAGACAGTTTGTACAGACTATCTACGTAATACAATGTGTATTGATTGGGGAACACAAAAATAACAGCTCCACAAACTCCTAATGACTGGGAACAGTGGGCTGTGGCTAAAGAGGGGATCTTCGTACACTGTTTATTTAATGAAGTCAGCTTGTCAATATAAGTAACATTTAGAAACTAACATTGAAATACATATTTCTCAAATATTATTGAACATACTTGTCTAACTCTAAATCTGTGGGGGAAAAATGATATAAATCTTGCATTCAAAATTAAAGGATGTTGAAGCTTAAATTCAAATCTTTTAGAAATTATATTTTTTATACCCAGTTTTATTGGAATCATACAAAAATTATGCAACTGCAGGGGAATAACTAAATCTCCTTCACCATAGGACTGAGCCTTAGACAAACAAACAAGTTTCCATTCCTGTGTACATATATCTTACTAATTCCCTTCCCTCAACATGTGTTCTTGTGATTATGGAATCAAGTACAGACCAAAACCTTCACCCATCACAACACAAAAGAAGTCAGTGGAGAAAAAAACCTTACAAAACTAGAAGCATCAATTCAGATTTTTAACCTCAATCTTATTTTGAAGAGGGTTTCAATACATGCACTCATTGAAATGGGTGTTTTCTTTTCAAAAGATGTCAGTACAATCAAGATTACAAAACCAATTAAAAAGAATCTGGATCATTTGAACATGCATCCATAAACATGGTCCAGCAGAATGGAAAAAAAAAATCTAAAACGTGTATATCCAAGTCTGCTGAAGATATATGCAATAGGGAAACATTTATAAAAAGCTTGCACATATCCTATATTCATGATTAACTTTTTTACATCTTTGTTACTTATGAATACTAAGTGTGAAATGCAACACACACACGTGAAATCTATTGTATGTACTCTATTACAGATCAGCTGTATATTCATACTGAAAAAGGAAACAAGTGAGTGAGACAGGATGTTACAGACAGACCACCAGATTCACTAGCTGTACAGGAGATCCACGTGGTTACCACACACATTAAAAACTAAAAAATAAAGACTTATAAAAATAGGCCAATTTTAACCTTTATTGAAATTAGAATTATTGAGATTTAGCTATTCAAATGAATCATGCGAGATGTGACTGTAACCAGTCCATACTAATAATGCAAGTTGATAATTCATCAAAATTCAACAATTAGATCAGAACTTTTGAAAAACTTGTGAACTCACCACTACCTCTTCAACAAAGGACATCACAGAGTTGTACCAGTAAACAGAAACCACTTAATGTACATGGAAAAGACAACGGGAAATATCCATGAAACACGCAGGTTAAAAACTTGTATCATTCATTAAACCGGTTACGTCATTCATTCACATTCTTGAAAGCTAGATACCATTTCCTCAAAAAGTTCCATTCTGTTTCCCATAATGGTTATAAGTATCTGTGAAATCTACTTATGAGTGGAACATCAACATATTCATAAAATTCAAAACAAAAAGCCATAAACAACAAAAACAAAGAAGCCTGAAATACTAATAATATATTGAATCCACTTTTCCCAAAGTTTCTGTAAATACTCCATTTCTTGAAACAGGTCTGATTTTAATTTAGCCAAGGTACATTCATGCACTTAGAAATTTGCTTCAAGGCTAATGGCCATATAAAATGTCATGTACTTGGGCTGGGACACTACACATATTTATGACTGGATACAAACCAAGGCAAAATACAGTATATTTTATGTGAAAATTAATTTTACAATTCTTATCTTAAGCCTTGTTATCAGTGAAAGGTAAATGCATAATCTATGAATCCAGCTGCATATAAATCTAAATTTTGAATTGTTCAAATAAAACACAACTTCTATGACCAAGTCTGTAGTCAGCTTTGGTCTAAAACGTTTTATAAAACAAAACTGGGGGGGAAAAATCTGTTGCGTCTGTTAATCCTGCAGATCTTGACATTACAAAAGAAATGAAAATTAACACCATGAAGTTTGTGAGGCTTTGTTTCTGATCTTTTGCTCCTATTACGATATTCTTGGTTCCAATGAAAATTCAAACAGCTGACCATAGGTGCGTTCTTAGCGATTACCAATGGCTACATTGTACACATCTATGCATATACCTTTAACATCCAGAAGCTCACGAATGTCATCATAGTATAATATCATGGCTATAACAAACAGAACAACAGTTCAGGGTTTTCATTGTTTAGAACCATTCTTATGTGTTGTGTCCTTCACCTCACGTCTGTTGTAAACACAGAGATAGTCACATACATTGCTTTACAATATTGCATTACAAGATACCGAGAAGTTACAGAAAATATTCTTATTTTACTGCACAGCAACCTTCTCTAAAAATAAAAGTTTTAAAGCATATGTATTGCCACACCCTTCAAAATCTTTTGTTCTATTTGATACAAAGAGATTATTTCACAACAAATGCTCAGCTTTCATCTCCACACTACTCATTAAAAATGTAAACCTACCCAGTCTCAACTCGCCAAAGTTTCCACATCCAATTTTTTTGCCCACTCTAAAGTTTGGTCCCACCATCATGGGCCCAGCTGAACTGCCTGTTCTGTTCTGCATGCTTCGAGCACTCTGTTTCCTTCCAGATCGAGAAGCGTCTTCGTACTCTCTAGCTTGAGAGTGCATACTATTTTTAAGCGGTTTACACGCTATCTCTTTTTATTTAACGAACGGCAAAAGTTCGTTGTTCAGTTTTTATGGAATCACCACGTTCAGTACTTTTCAGACTTGGTCAACTAATGTGCCAACCCAATCCAAGTTTTTTCTTGAGTTTGGGTGGGGGTGGGTGGAATTTTCCCATACTATGCTGATTGCAACATATCCCTCTTGTCCTCACATCCTAATTCTATCTAATTTCTTAGCACATTTTCCAGAAATTCAGATGATAACAAGTTTGTTATTCGATCATGGTTTCCTCGATAAGGAACTACGTTTACAGCTGCTCGGGCGATCATATTATTCCGCATCAGCGATAAGTCAGCAAAATAACAAAATAGAATTAAAATAAATTAATTGTATTGACATTATAAGTATTTCAAATCAAATTTTATAATATAATTATCTTCAAAGTACGTAATAATTTACGATTTGGGACTATATTTTTTAGCGGTAATAAACACCGGAATAAGAATATCAGCCACCCGGCAAAGTGCGCAAGTCGGGGATTCCCGTTACCAGGCGGTCGGTTTATTTATAATAAACATTGCACATAAAGGTCGCTGATACTCAAGATACTGATTTCTCTGAAAATTGACATTGAGTGTGATAAGTTCAAATGTGTGGCCTTCTAAGATTCTTTTTCTTTGAAGTTAATTCACAAAATTATACCAAAACCGGCATTATCACGCCACCAAACGTCATTTCCGTGTCAAAAATAGGTCAGAATGTCATCGGTTAACCCCTCATTAAACAATAAACTTTGCCTTTCGGATATAAACGAGAAGGTCCTATTTCTCTTGAATAAAAAATACAAATTGACACGACGTAATAATTTCACAGAAAACTTTTCTTTTTTTCATTTGCGAATTAAATGAAAGGTCTTGTTACATGGATTAAATATGTAACTTGGTATGAAAGCACTAGCCCTTACCCTTTAAAAGTTATGATCAAGGTTTGCTTTTAAAAGTAGGTCAGACATCAAGGTCAGAGGGTCAAAGTTCTTGCTATCTAATGAACTAAATGAAGGGTCTTCTCACAAGGATGGCATATGTAAAGTATGAGAGCACTAACCCTTAGTGTTCAAAAGTTATGGCCAAGGTTTATTTTTTTCACAAGTACCAAAATCTCTAAGGTCAAAAGGTCAAAGACCCAGATAATTGGTATCGATGAAAAGTCTTGCAACAAAGAATACATATGTAAACTATGGAAGTCCTAGTCCTAACTATTTACGGAGTTATTGCAAAGGTTAAAAATTTTAAAAAGTTTAAGGTCAAGGTCAAAGAGTCAAAGGTCTAACTATCAAATGAAAGGTCTTGTCACAGTAATTAAATATGTAAAGTATGAAAGCACTAGCCCTACTTTTAAAGTTATGTTCAATGTTTGCTTTTTAAAAGAAGGCATAACTCCAAGGTCAAGATCAAAGGTCAAAGTTCTTGGTATTCAATGAAGAGTCTTCTCACAAGGACTACATATATGAAGTATGAAAGACCTATCCCTTGCACTAGACCAAACGATTTAAAAGTTATGGCCAAGGTTTGCTTTTTTAAAGTAGGTCAAACTCCAAGGTCAAGATTCTTGGTATTCAATAAAGGGTCTTCTCACAAGGATTACATATGTGAGGTACGAAAGACCTATCCCCTATCGTACAAAAGTTACGGCTAAGTTGAAGTTTTCTCACAAGTACGGAAATCTCCAAGATCAAGGTCAAGAGGTCGAGGTTGTTGGTATTCAATGAAAGGTCTTTCCACAAAGGATTGAAAGAATACATACGTGAAATATAAATGTCATGGCCAAAGTAAAAGCTTGGAATATTTGTGCAAAAGTGGGTCAAAATCCAAGGTCAATAGGTCAAATTTGGTGGTACCCAAAGAAAGGTTACATGTCGTGTGAAATATGAAAGTCACAGCTCCACTAAATCAAAAGTTATGGGCAAGGTTGAAGTATTTGCGGACAAACAGACAGACAGCTAGACGGACAGACAGACAGACCGACATGACAAAAACTATATACCGCGAAACTTTGTTTACAGGGGCAAAAAAGAGAAGAGAATCCAAATTAATCCGGAAACGAAAATTCACTGAATTCAAAACAAAATTTTAGAGGAGTTCCGATGGAATGTTTACAACCATGGCCGCCGTATTTGAAAGAAAAGAATTTCTCTTTCTAAAATGATTTGCTACTGACAAAATAATCGACGTTTATTGATTTCAGAAAACAATGGTTGAAAAAGACAAATTCCTTGTTGTAATATCTGTCCTAGAGGGTAGGTTTTGAGATTTTAATCATTCTAAAAATGATATGCATACCTAACCGACAGGTCTGTGCTCGTTTTCAATGTGGCAGCAGCTGGGAATTTTGTTTCAGTTTAAATATTCTCACTCATTTAACATTAATGGAAATTCGTAATGTGTTATATTTAAGCGTATCTAAAGGAAATAGAATGTATGGTTACATTAAAGAAGTTTTCGAATATTTCTCGAATTTCCTCTATTTTTAGTTTGATGTAAAATATCATTAAAAACAAACACATAGGTTATGATTAACTAAGAAGTTGCTTTGATTTTTAAAAGTTAAAGAGAAATTATGAATCAACTCAAAGAAAATGATTATTTATTTTATATGCAAAATTACATTAATATTTTTAAATGTTCGAGGATGAAACCCTAAGTGCAAGCACAGTTCATTTTGTACAATTCTACAGACTTTGTCAGAATACTTTCACATTTTGCTCATTTCTCTTCTCTGTAATTTTCTTAAATGTTGATTACTGCATATCACCATGATCATGATGATCACACTTAGTCAGTCTTCAAAACTTTCAACTTACTGGCTTGCAGGACCAGGGAATTGTCTAAATTTACTGGCCCACCAACAATTTTACTGGCCCCCTTAATTTGAAAAAAATGTATTCATAAATATAAATTAATACATGCCAACTGCAGAAACGCCCTTTGTCATGTTCCAGTAAGTTGTTCACAGGATATTTGAGCATTTTACGTATATATATTGATATGTTTAAAATAGAATATAAAATTATTTTAAATATTTGTTTTTGATGGTAGGAAGAAGATTCCCTAAGCGACCAAAACACAAGATAATCACCGAGGCCCGTTTTGATGGGGAGCTTTTGTCCACTGACTCGGTAGATCACACAGAAACTCCAAACTTCACCCAGGAACTGGCCTGGGAGCTCGACAAAAAAGGTCTACAGCAACACAGACTGCAGAGGACGTCCATTAAAATTCAGTGTTATGCATGTGATAGTTCATCCACCTTTAAGGAGGCCATAGGATATGTTGTGCTGGATCTAAGATCAGTTACAACAAAACAGGTGTAGTAGATCTTCTGATCATTGTTTTTTAAAGTTTCCTATATGAAAATGCACATTCATTTGGATTTTAAAGGCTGATTTTAAGATAGAATGTATTTTTTTTAATATTGCTTTTAAAGTCATCATGGAATTCCTGCTCATGTTCATTTGTTTTATATTTAATAACTAAAATCTATGTTGAACTTCTCATGCATGAAAAGCACATGAAGATTGAGAATTTTTTTCCAGACTCCAAAATGGTATCCACTTCTACACTCGAAATACAGCAAAAATAAAACAGAAATTCGGTTAGCTATTTACTTAGAAAACGATAAAAATGGTGAACAGGAAACAAGCTTTAAAGCCAAGGATGCACCCGCTAGATGTAAGTATAGCCAAGCACCTGTCAGGTGTAAGTATTGTTGAGTATCTGACTGTCAGGTGTAAGTACATGTACAGCCAAACACCTGTCCATTGTAAATATTGCTGAGCAATGGCGAGCATCTGTCAGGTGTAAGTGCATGTATAGCCAAGCACCTGTTAGGTGTAAGTATTGTATTGCACCTGTTAGGTGTAAGTATAGGCAAGCACACAAATTAAACAGAATTAATGATTTGAAATTTGAGTGTGAGACAGCTCCTTGACAACAGGCCGAGACAGAGATATCTCAGCCCCAGTTCTGAGGCTCTGTCTCACCCAGTCCAAATGCCTGTATCAGGGCTTATACACTACTAGGTATATGATATTTCCATTTCTGTTTGTTTTCTTTGTGATAACTTGATTTCTTGATCATTCTACCGGAATGTAAATTTTGTTTAACGATGGATTAGGAGCTAAGGAGACCTAGTATGCATGCAAATCTCCTTGTATATAGCGTCAGATGGCAGTTACTATTGATATTGACATGGGAGGCCTCATGTAATGGAAATTTATTAGTCTACATTTTCAAAATCTAAATTTACAATTTTATTTCATAACGAAATGGAAATATAACACGTATAAGGAATCACTGTCTAGTTAGTAGAGTATGCCAGGGTCATCAACTAAGTTGGAAATGTTGGATAATTTATGCAAAATGGGCTTCACCTGTTATGCAAATTATTCCACATTTCCAACTGTCATTGATGTCCTGGCATGCTCTACAAACTAGAGAGTGATTCTTTAACTCAGGTCCAATTTTTGTCTATGTGTCACTGTATTATAACGCGTAGGTTTTACCTTAAATTCTTTTTTAAAACTATCACTATTTAGTTTTGCATGTAATTACAGTAATAGAACGTGACCCAAGAGCAACTTATAGCATGGAGACTCAGACCCCCACAAGTATCAGTGATTGCTGCATTGTTTATTTAGATTTACTGTTATTGTTGTTCTATTCTTTTAGATTTGGGAATTTAACACCACTTTTTAGTTCAGGGACTGGGCCATTAGAATTGAAAAAAAATAGAAAGAAAGTGTCCATGAAATGTCATTAAAATTTGGTGTTCTGGTGGTTTTTCTTTCAATTAAGTACCGGGGTAATGAAAATAACACAGTCATTCAGAAACAATGCTACCCCTTTTAATTCATAAATTGGCTGTCTGGAGACCTCAGTTAGGATGAGTTCTTAACATTTTGTTTTTGTTAAAATTGTTTGTTTTCATTGTTTTTGTGCTTTTCCATTGTATTTGACATAAGTATTAAATGAAATTTCCTCTTCTTGAATGACTTAATATTTCTATTGAATGTAATGAATATTCCATACCAATACTCGGTTATATATTGCAGTACTTGAGGACACACAGAACTTGGGGGCGGACCCTCGTCACTTACAACCCTTACTTAACGAAGCTGAGGGCTATTATCAGATTGGTTCCAAACTTAAATGTAAAGAACAGTTTGTCCTATCTGTCACTATCGCACAGGCTGCAAACTTAACTCAGGTATTTCTTACATTTAACATGTTTAATGAAACTATTCTTTTAACTTTGGTTATTCTTATATTTTCATCTTATTTCATCATACACAGAATTTTAGCCTATGTATAAAATTTGATGCTTGTCTAAAAGTCCCTCTAAATAAGCACAATGTTAACATTTATGTATAAATACATTTAAAGTATAAAGTACATTATGTATTTGTAATTGGTAATCCACCGTTCAATTTGTGAGTAATGAGTCAATCTATTTTCAGCTGATTCCAAGTTCCCAGCCCCTCCCTGTGACAGCCAATGGTTACTTCTTTTACTTCTCCCTCCTGGGAAACGATGTGACTAACGAGACTTTCCACGATTTAATTAATCCTAACTTTCCTGCAGAACGAGCTTCTGTTAAAATCCGGAGTAACGTAGATACACTGAGGGCCTTCTTTTCCTGCCAGCCTGGTATCCAGGTATGTTGTCATAGCTATATATAGAAGCGATTGTGAGGGAAATTAACGGTTTTATTACATGTCCAGAAAGAGCTTCAGAAAAAAAATTAGTAAAGGACACTTAACTTAGCTATAAATAATAGAAATGGATTCAATCAAAATCTTACTTTTCATGTTGTATATGAATGAACCAAGATTGGAAGCACCTTGGGAAATTGACTTGCCTTGGGCCAGTCTGGGGGGAACCAGAATTTTGCTGACTCCCTCAATGATATACTTTAACTGTTTAATGTATTGTGGAGTCATCATTCAATGACAATGCTGATTTTTGTTTCTTCAGATACATTTGCGTTGTGGAATCAGCAGTCATTATTAACGCTGATGATTATTTCTTTAAAAAAATTTGTGTTGTGTAGTCAGCAGCCATTGTTAACACTGATGTTTATTTCTTTAGATACATTTGTGTTGTGTAGTCAGCAGTCATTGTTAATACTGATGTTTATTTCTTCAGGTACATTTGTGTTGTGGAGAGCAATCCTTAGGGAGCTGTGAGATTCCTCTCAAAGATCTTCTAGTCAAAAACAGTACAGAAATCTATATGAAGCCAGTCTCCATTGAGGGTTCCTTCCAGCTGGTTCCCCCAAACAAAACCAAGCAACAGATCACCCCCGCCCCCGGGGATCTGGCCCCCACCGTGGGGGTCTCTATTGTACTGAGGAAAGAGGAAATGGTAGGATCTTGATAATCTGTAATGGTGCAATGAAAATGAAAGTTTCTGATTATTTTAAATAATACTTATTTGCTTCCACTCAAATCTGTAGCATTTAAAGTAAAGTAGCTACAAAACAGATAAGATATATAGACTAATTTTATATAACACATGTATTTGTGTTAAATGATAGATACGAGTGCATTTGAATAAAACATTTCCATTGTAGTAAAAGATTGTATTTATTTCAGGTGATATCCTCTACTGGCAAGAATGACGCTCAGGAAACTAAAGTGTTAGGCTCCCCTGTCAAGGAGCGTGATGTGTCCCCGCCCAGGGGATCAGCATCCCCAGCAGCCAAAACCAAGAAAGACCGATCACCAGCCAAACCGAGGGACCGACCCCAGGAACCAGCCAAGCCAGAACCAGTCAAGGAGGCAGATGATTACGAGGATGATTTCGAGGATGGAAATAACACGCAGGAGTTTGTCAGCAGCTTTGAGGAGGAAAGTGAGTGTATTTGGATGTACAGTTTACTCATATTATACCTGCATATTACTTTTACTTCAAAAAAATAGGGAAAACCTATAAATAGGTTAAAAATGAGGATAAAAAAAACAGATGTTGAGGTTATAGAAAAACACACTTTATGAAGGTTAAGAAATGTACATGATTGTACATTTTAAAGCACATCTTTATCTAGAGTCAAATTGAATATTTTTGAAAGACTGACTGATTCTCATCCATTTAAGCACACCTTCACCTTTGTTTTATTTTTAATTTTAGAAGGTGCTAAAAAATCTACAGAGAAACCAGCAGGTGCTCCCCAAAGTCCCCGCAGTCCAGTCAGGTCACATCCGGGTATGTACATCAATCTGGTTTGTTAACTGGTTAAAAAGATTGATTTTTCAAATTTCTACTTTTAGAACCATAATACAATGACTAAAAAGAGCTTGCTTTTGCTATCGTTTTGAAAAAAGTAATGTGATCCAAATCTCACATCATTGGTACATGTAACATTTTGTCCGGCGTGATCCAAACTTTTCTTTCACATCAATTTCAACCAAACTTGCCACAAAGTTCCTTTAAGGGGATTCAAGAAATAAAATCTTCTTCTCATGTATATAAAACATCCTCATTGTAGATCTTTGTTCAAATCATGACCCCCGGGGGTCCTGGCCGACCAAAGTTTTACATAGAAATATATAGGAAAATTCTTTAAAAATCTTCTTCTCAAGAATGACAAAGCCATAATTCATCATATATATATGGAGAAAGTATTTCAAGTTTGTTCCATGACCCATGGGGGTAGGGCGGGGCCAAAATGGCCGACCAAAGTTTTACATGGAAATATATAGGAAAATTCTTTAAAAATCTTCTTCTCAAGAATGACAAAGCCATAATTCATCATATTTATATGGAAGCATGCTCAGGTAGTGTAGATTCAAGTTTGTTCACCCCAAAATGGCAAGGTTTTACATAGAAATATATAGGAAAATTCTTTAAAAATCTTCTTCTCAAGAATGACAAAGCCATAATTCATCATATATATATGGAAGCATGCTCAGGTAGTGTAGATTCAAGTTTGTTCAAATCATGACCCCGGGGGTAGGGCGGGGCCAAAATGGCCAACCAAGGTTTTACATAGAGATATATAGGAAAATTCTTTAAAAATCTTCACACACATCATATTGATATGGAAGCATGTTCAGGTAGTGTAGATTCAAGTTTGTTCAAATCATGACCCCCGGCCCCAAAATGGCCGACTTTTACATAGAAATATATAGGAAAATTCTTTAAAAATCTTCTTCTCAATCATTTTCTAAAAAATAGCAAATCCATGATTGGTCATGGGACTACTTTTGGATTTAAACTTTACAATAAAAAGCCATTTTATACTAGTCCTACCCTTGGTGCTCAGGTGAGCGATGTGGCCCATGGGCCTCTTGTTAGATGATAAAATCATTATATAACTCATTTTCTGTCCTTCAGACTAACAAGAGAAATTTCCCCCCTTTCAGTACCCCACATGTTTATTGTTGTTTTCCCCCTTTCTGTACCCCACATGTCTCGTTATTTTACAGTGGACAGTCAGACCACCACCTCCACACACCTGGCCATCCCGCCCCAGGCCCACCACTTCACCTTCTCCATCGACCTCCGCAGCATCAAGGACGTCCACAATACCTCTACACTCAATGTATTTATCAGGTAAATCATAAACTGTGCAATTATACAGTTAAGGAATCACTATTTTTAGCAAAGGTAAGACATGATATTCTTTCCAGTTCAGGATGTGTCAGAATATTTTTACTTGAAGTATTAATCTTTTTTATCTCTAGAATTTCATGTTGGTGAAGTAATCATTGTATATATAGATTTATTGATCCTTTGTTTGTATTCAAGATACTCCTACCCCTTTTTCGGAAGTGCTGCTCCAATTTTGACAAACCCTCCTGTCGAGATCAGGAAGGGTACGGAGGTTATTCTCCCGCAGTCCTTCTGTGCGTTTGATTTCGCTTGTACCACACAGCAGCTACAGGAGACATTCCTCAGGTAAACTGATTTGTAGAATTACAGAATTACTTCCCACAGGTAAACTGGATTTGCAGAGGCAGTTACTAAAGTTTTTCCCATATACATGATATACAATTTGTAGCAAAAAATATCAGAAGATGCTCAGATATTGCAATCTAATTAAAATTAGATGATAGATCCGCTCTCATGCTCGCTACACTAACATCTAACAACATCCCATTGAGGATCGTGTCATAGGTCAAACTGTATCAATCAAATCGTCACCTGCAAAATCATTAATTGTATATTCTTGAAGCGAATAAGTCTAGAACTGTTCCGAACCTCTGACGTTACCCTCAGTGGGATGTTGTTAGATGTTTTAAGCATTAATAAAATTGCACCATGCTCTATTTTCTTTAGCCATTATATGTATTATAAGCTAAGGATTACCAAAGAGAGTTAAAATGGAATGCTGCTTCTAAGCATTAAAATCCTGAATGACATTAATTTACACACTAATACCGTAAACCATTTTTTATTCACAATAACTTAATTTCACGATTTACTGGGGGTAAATTTGTTTACGGCAATTCATTTTCAAGCCATTTTTTGATCTTTTGTTAATCAATTAACAAAGAGATGTTGAAGACTGGTACATGGTGAGAAATATTCACGAAGATGGGGCTTTCGCAAAAATTTCTCGCATGGGGAATAAAAGTGGTTTTACAGTAATTTTGATTGAGAATTCAGAGATGTATCTTTGATTTTTTTGTGCATCTTGAGTTAATATTTAAATATCATGTAATCAAGTGATCCTTTTATGATCTGCCTAGAGAATTCCTGTGGTATATTACTGCTAATTCTTGTACAGGGTCCCCCTGATGATAGAGGTGTGGCACCGAGACAAGCAGCTCTCCCAGGACGTATTGGTTGGTTCAGGGCGACTTCCCCTTGATCAAATCATCACCACCGATAAATTCAGAGTCTCCGTACGTGTCATTTTCTCTCTGTATAAACTATTCATTTGTACATTAGGAAAAATAAATAAAAAATATTAGTGTTGGCAAATCGGACGATTTTTAGTAACCGGTTACTCGCTCAATCTTCCGATCGAGTACCCGGTTACTCGGATGATTTATTCATATGTATCATTTATCTCATCTTTTACTCATCGGTTCTAACAAAACACAGAGGTATTGTGAATTAACTTTATTTATAAACTTAAAAAGAGCACGCACGCAATATCTTGAATTTTATATATAACTATAATCAAAAAATTCAAATCAGAAAAAAATAAATATTCAATGTTTCACGCTTTTTTACAATGTTTTACTTTTCAACCCCCGATATATGTCACGATCAAGGAGAATAATTATTAAAAAATTTGAAGTCACGATAACTCTAATTCACATTAATTACATTTTACAAGTACATGTATGCCCTCAGCTGTTCTTTTAAAATACTTCCAAGCTATACATATGCATATATATACATATGTTTGGCGGCATCTTGTTAAATTATTTAATGAGGTAATTATAACTTGGGTCTTCAAAACTTGTATAACCTGCTGGCAATCAAAGCTATCAATTAAGTGTGAAAACCAATCAATCCTAATTAGTGAAACAATACATGTAGATCATTAAATCTAACGGTAAAGAAAATTAGAGAAATGTTTATTTGTATGCTTAAAAACAAATTAACATTTCATTTTTCAGCTATTAACCATATAAGATGCATTTTATCCGAGTAACCGAATAGCAATTTTACTAACCGATACTCGCATCGTTCGACGGTTAACCGGTTAACCGGGTACTCGTAAAAAATATGTATAACCATGGAGTATAATTGAATGATGGTGATATGAATTTTTCGCCTTTATATTCACACATTTGTACATCAGATAAAATAAAACAATTGGTAAGCAACTTGTTGAACGTTCAAGAACAAACAGAATAATATTCCAAGCTTCTCCCCTATCAGCTCTCTTTCTTTAAATAAAAAAGGTTGATTATAAGATCAGTTTGTGGAATAACATTTATGAAGGATATTGTTTTTGTCTCTCCTTGTTATGGAGATGTTGAATACATAAATGTGTATAATCCTGGAGTATGACTGACTTGATGATTTTAATTGTTATAATCCTGGAGTATGACTGACTTGATGATGATTTTATTTCAGAGTAACACAGGTACCCCTGGGTGGAGGCAGACATTTCACGACAGACTGGCGATTACAGCTAATGACAGGTAAACACCTGTGTAATAGTTGGAAATTTGACACTTTTGTGCAGAAGACTTTTATTTTCAGTTTCAAAATATAATAAGAATCTGTCTTGGTTATATATTTTCCACTTAAAAGTCTTCATGTGTCAAATTCAGATGAACTTAAGTTTGAAATGAAAATTAAGCAATTGTAAGCAAATTGATTACCTGAATCTTAAAGGAAAGTTTTGCCAAAGTTCATTGTGCATTGTCATTTTTTATAGTGGTCATCAGAAGGTGGGTGAGGTTTGTTTTGTTTTGTGTCTGGAGGACTGGGGACCAATCACAGCACAGCAAATTGTCGTCCAACAGGAGGGGCCACCACAGGTATTCAGACCCTCGTAAAGTTATCTCTCCTACATGTGAACCATCTCAACCAACCTGTATTGAATGTGATAAATAACTTCCTAAAATTGTTCCACTTTTAAATTTTGAGGTAACAATACTCTCTTCTTGATTTTTCCCCTAGCCTGTGTTAAGTTCCCCAGTTCGATCTCCTAAGGTGACAGAGAGACCAGTAAGTCCCGAGGAGCCCCGCAAGACTGCGGAGTATCAGGCAGCTGTGGAACTGGAAATGTGGAAGGAATCGCAGGAACAGATGTTTGAAAACCAGGTTAGGGATTTTTTTTATCACATTACATGCATTTAAAACCATTTTTTTAAAAAAATCTTTAGGCTTTTTCAAACATTTTATTAATTCAATCGCTTTGGATTAACAGCTGAAGCAGAAAGAAATCATGTACATGAAGGCCTTAGCAGAGGAATGGAAGAAGAGGGACAGAGAGCGGGAAATAATTATGAAAAAGAAAGTAAGTGTACTACATAATAGAAATGGACAAGGGAAAATCTCATGAAAAAGAAAGTAGGTTAATACAAGATAACTATACATAAAACGTAATAGAGATGGACAAGGTACTGAATTATCATGAAAAACAATGTAGGTTTACTTCAATCAATAAAAATATAAAAGAAATGAACAAGCTTTTATGATGGTGGACACATAGGACTCACTTTATTGTTCGTTTATTTGTCTAGAAAGGGTGGTATTTTTACAGAAAAGATCACTTACAAACTTGCGATGTATGTTCATTTGATTATGCATTATAAATTTTGAAAACTGATATTTATAAAATTAATTCTCCTATAATGGGAAGATTTATTAACCATTTGTTGAGGGAATGACACCTGACTTAATCATTTTGTTATAGATGGCAGAATACACCCAGTCTGAGGAGAAATTAAGGAAAACTTTGTTAGATTTACAGAAGAGAGAAAAACAGTTAGCAGCCAATGAACAAGAGGTAATGTTGATTCCATGGCAACTGATTCTCATTCGAAATTATTTAATACATTGTAAACCTTATGCTTTTAAAATTATCTGCATCCAGGCAGGTAGTTTTCAAAATGCTCTAGCTTTTCATTCCTAGTTATAGGATACTTACATATTATTAGCTCACCTGAGCCAAAGGCTCGTGAGCTTTTCATATCAAAATTTGTCCGTTGTCTGTCATTATCATTAACTTTTCACATTTTCATTTTCTTCTCAAGAACCACTGGGCCAATTTCAACCAAACTTGCTACAAAGTATCCTTGGGGGAAGGGGTTTCAAGTTTGTTCAAATGAAGGGTCATACCCTCTTCCAAGGGGAGGTATTTATGAATTAGTCATAAATTAATGGTGTTTTTTAAAAATCTTTTGCTCAAGAACCAGTGGGACAGGAAAGATGAAACTTAGGTGGAAGTATCCTCATAGATTCTAGACTCATTGTGTAGATTCAAGTTTTTTTCAAATCATGACCCCTGGAGCAAGGGTGGGGCCATAATGTGTGATCAAATATTTCAAATGAGACTTACCAGTATTACAAATGCCATCCTCATAAACATTTTATCTTTCAATGCAGTTGGTCAGTATTATTAGTGTTTTGGTGGATTCTCAATTTTATATGCAAAGTATAGTAATCATTTCATAGAAATCAAACATTCCAATCAATGTGTAATGTGGTGATCAAAATGTGGAAATTTTGCACACTTGATCTAACAAAATGACACGCTGTATTGGAATGATAGTATACAGTCAATTCTCGAATTATCGCCATTCGATTCATCGCCATTTTCGCAATACCGCCATAATTTCCCAAGAACGTTTTTCCTGCTATATAAAATTCTCCTTATAACGCCGAATTCGCATACCGCCATCCGCCACCCTGTTTTCACAACAAACGTCCATTTTTAAGTGTCATTTATCTCGATATACCGCCACAGGTGCATGCGGTCAGTGAAGCGCGGCTAGTTGGTTGACGCTATCCCTGTTGTAAAGCATGCAAAGCCAGACAAAGTACATGCAATTAAATAATTAAATAAGAGTTAAATAAACAATTTATTAAAATTTTAGTATGAACTGTTATATAATAATGATTTTGTTTTCTGTTTAATAAAAATCATTCAGTCACGATAGTACGCCGAATACGATATTATTTTGATGATCTCTGCTATAAACAATTCAAAGTTTGCTTGACAAATAATTATATGGTATAAACTGTGAACGTTTCATTAACAATGATGCCATAAACAATGAATTTTTTCAAGAAATAATTTTACGTACTGTCAGCAATATATCACGACGATCGACCCAGCATGTTTTTTAGCTCACCTGAGCCGAAGGCTCAAGTGAGCTTTTCTGATCACATTTTGTCCGTCGTCCGTCTGTCCGTCCGTCTGTCCGTCTGTCTGTCCGTCTGTCCGTCTGTAAACTTTTCACATTTTCGACTTCTTCTCAAGAACCACTTGGCCAATTTTGACCAAACTTGGTACAAAGCATCCTTGGGTGAAGGGGAATTTAAATTGTTAAAATGAAGGGACATATCCCCTCGCAAGGGGAGATAATCAAGAAAAGACAAAAATAGGGTTGGGTCATTAAAAAATCTTCTTCTCAAGAACCACTGGGCCAGTAAAGCTGAAACTTATGTGGAAGCATCCTGGTATAATGTAGATTCCAAATTGTTCAAATCATGACCCCCGGGGGAAGGGCGGGGCCACAATGGGGAATCAAAGTTTTATATAGAAATATATAGGAAAAATCTTTGAAAATCTTCTTCTCAAGAACCACTGGGCCAGAAAAGCTGAAACTTATGTGGAAGCACCCTGGGGTAGTGTAGATACTAAATTGTTCAAATCATGACCCCCGGGGGAAGGGCGGGGCCACAATGGGGAATCAAAGTTTTATATAGAAATATATAGGAAAAATCTTTGAAAATCTTCTTCTCAAGAACCACTGGGCCAGAAAAGCTGAAACTTATGTGGAAGCATCCTGGTATAATATAGATTCTAAATTGTTCAAATCATGACCCCCGGGGGAAGGGCGGGGCCACAATGGGGTATCAAAGTTTTACATAGAAATATATAGGAAAAATCTTTGAAAATCTTCTTCTCAAGAACCACTGGGCCAGAAAAGCTGAAACTTATGTGGAAGCATCTTGGTATAATGTAGATTCTAAATTGTTCACATCATGACCCCCGGGGGAAGGGCGGGGGGCCACAATGGGGAATCAAAGTTTTACATAGAAATATATATTGGAAAAATCTTTGAAAATCTTCTTCTCAAGAACCACTGGGCCAGAAAAGCTGAAACTTATGTGGAAGCACCCTGGGGTAGTGTAAATTCTAAATTGTACAAATCATGACCCCCGGGGGAAGGCTGGGCCACAATGGGGTATCAAAGTTTTACATAGAAATATATAGGAAAAATCTTTGAAAATCTTCTTCTCAAGAACCACTGGGCCAGAAAAGCTGAAACTTATGTGGAAGCATCCTGGTATAATGTAGATTCTAAATTGTTCAAATCATGACCCCTGGGAGAAGGGCGGGGCCACAATGGGGAATCAAAGTTTTATATAGAAATATAAAGGAAAAATCTTTGAAAATCTTCTTCTCAAGAACCACTGGGCCAGAAAAGCTGAAACTTATGTGGAAGCATCTTGGTATAATGTAGATTCTAAATTGTTCACATCATGACCCCCGGGAGAAGGGCGGGGCCACAATGGGGAATCAAAGTTTTACATAGAAATATATATTGGAAAAATCGTTGAAAATCTTCTTCTCAAGAACCACTGGGGCAGAAAAGCTGAAACTTATGTGGAAGCATCCTGGTATAATGTAGATTCTAAATTGTTAAAATAATGACCCCTGGGGGAAGGGTGGGGCTACAATGGGGAATCAAAGTTTTTTATAGAAATATATAGGAAAAATCTTTGAAAATCTTCTTCTCAAGAACCACTGGGCCAGTAAAGCTGAAACTTATGTGGAAGCACCCTGGGGTAGTGTAGATTCTAAATTGTTCAAATCATGACCCCCGGGGGAAGGGCGGGGCCACAATGGGGTATCAAATTTTTACATAGAAATATATAGGAAAAATCTTTGAAAATCTTCTTCTTAAGAACCACTGGGCCAGAAAAGCTGAAACTTATGTGGAAGCATCTTGGTATAATGTAGATTCTAAATTGTTCAAATAATGACCCCCGGGCGAAGGGCGGGGCCACAATTTGGAATCAAAGTTTTATATAGAAATATATAGGAAAAATCTTTGAAAATCTTCTTCTCAAGAACCACTGGGCCAGAAAAAGTGAAGCTTATATATATAGAAGCATTCTAGGGTAGTGTAAATTCTAAATTATAGGAATCATGACCCCCGGGGGAAGGGCGGTGCCATTATAGGGAATCAAAGTTTTACATAGAAATATATAGGAAAAATCTTTGAAAATCTTCTTCTCAGGAACCACTGGGCCAAAAAAGCTGAAACATATGTGCCCATGGAAGGATCATGGGTTAGTGTAGATTTCAAAATGTCTAAATTATGATCAGTGGGGTAGGGTGGGGATGCATTATGTATAACAAGGGGGAAATCTGGTAAAGAACAGAATGGTTAAAACTTCTCAGGTGAGCGATGTGGCCCATGGGCCTCTTGTTTTTAATATCAGACATACAGATTTACATGCATACACATGTACTTGTCTTTATTTTATTTCTGCACATTTTGTTTTAACGACATTGTACATAAAATTACTTGAAGTATTTTCAAATTTAGAAATATGTTTTATATGTATACATGTACATGTAATTATAAGAATAGAAACGCTAAATAGTATTTCTAAGGACGGTAACTCTTCTTGTTTCCTTAGAGATGGAAAATTCAATTCATCGCCAAATTCGTTATACCGCCATGATTTCTAAATTACAAAAGGTGGCGATTTATCGAGAATTAACTGTATATACAAAGTAACAAAGTAACATGAGAGTTATGAAAGTCATTGTTGAAATTTTTTTTTAAAATCTTCTTCTCAAGAATAGTAAAGGCATGATTAGTCATATTTATATGGAAGCATCCTTTGGTAGTGTAGATTCAAGTTTATTCAAATCATGACCTCCAAGGGTAGGGCGGGTCCATAATGGCCAATCAAAGTTTTACATATAGGAAAATTCTTAATTCTTTAAAAATCTTCTTCTCAAGAATAGCAAAGCCAAGATCAGTCATTTTTATATGGAAACATCCTCAGGTTGTGTAGATTCATTCAAGTATGTTCAAATCATGACCCTCAGGGGTAGGGTGGGGCCACATTGGCTGATCAAAGTTTTACTTAGGAATATATAGGAAAAATTTTTCAAGGACTGCAAAGTGTGATTGGTCATATTTTATTTGGGAGGGAGTGGGGCACAATGTAAGTTCAAATGGAAAGGGAAATAAAGCCACAAGTAGTCAAAGAGATATGCAAGCATCCTTAGTTAGTGTAGATTCAATCCTTTAAGGTTTGGTTTGGGCCACTTTTGGGTGTAAATGTTTCAATAATAAACTGATTTCTGCTTTTTTATTCCAAGCCACAGTGCTCAAGTGAGCAATGTGGCCCATGGGCCTCTAGCTTGTTGCTCAGGTGAGCATTGTGGCCCCTTGGCCTCTTGTTCATTTCTGACTTCTAGTAGTAATGCATGTTTGATAATCACTTAGGTGATGAGACAGCGTGGTGAGTTACAGAGAGAGCATGACAGAAAACTGCAGGAAATGAAAGAGGCCTCCCACAGGATGAAGGAGGATTGTCAACACCAGGTGGAGCTGGAGAGGTTAATATCACTATTTATTGTTTCTTTCTATATCAATGTTAAACCAGATGGAAAGTTAGTGTAAACAGCAGAGGTTAATATCACTATTTATTGTTTCTGTCTATATCAATGTCCAATCAGATGAAAGGTTAATGTAAACAGTAGAGGTTAATATCACTATTTATTGCCCTGTCTATATCAGTGTCCAATCAGATTGAAATTTATTGTAGACAATAGAGGTTAATATCACTATTTATTGTTTCTTTCTTTATCAATGTCTAATCAGCTGGAAAGGTTAATATAAACAGCAGAGGTTAATACATGTATCACTACATGTATTTATTGCTCTGTGTGTATGTGTCCAATCAAACGGAAAGGTTAATGTAAGCATTTCATAAAACAAAAGGCATCCCGCAACATAACACTCCTTTGTTGTAATTTTGGCTCATATTAGACTTACTGTTTCTCGGTATTGTTGAAACTTGAAAAGCCTAAAGAATTTGGAAAGAGACAATTCTTGTGTGGAAATTCAGTGTTGTCAGCAAGTTTTCATTTGTCTTGAAACACATATTAATTCAACTTTGACAGAGTTTATTTTTAAGATACAATTTAATACAATTAATACCTTCAAATATTGAGATCTATTTAATAACAATTGACAGCACTTGGAAATTATCTATTGTAATCCATTACATCTTTATCAAAACTATGAAAATTATTAATGGCTGATTTTAAAATTTTAGTAAGTAAAATCAATTTATTTCAGTCTCTTTTTTTCTTTATTGAATTTGTGTATGTTATTGTAGAATGAAGGTCCGAGAGATTGAGGGTATTGTGGAGCGATATAAAAATGAGGTAAGGAAAATCATTCACATAGAATTTAGAAAATTCCAGCTTCACCATAATACAGACAGTGCCATGAAGTTTGAAATAACGAGGTTTAACTCTTAAGGGGGCTGACTATAGTTTTCATTGCGCAATATTTCGCGCATCATAGTAAAATGAAGCGTATTTACTGTTCAAATGCAATTTTTTTTTGCTTAATTATTAAAATTAAACAAAATTAAGAAATTAGAGGTATAAAAATGTAATTACAATTTGAAATAAATGATTTTTTAACCGATTTTGCAATTGATAGGTAGGTATACGTCGTTGCAGTGTGTTTTTGACGTTATGATAATCTGCAGCTCTTAAAGAAAGGGGTAATAAAAATATTATTGAAGAAAAAGTAATAAACATACGCTCTTGAAATGTAAAACATAGAAATTTGAGAAAATCTCAAATATTTTTATTATGTTTTTATGTGAATCCATTGTGTATGTCATATTTTTAGGTCACCTGAGTAACTCAGGTGACCTTTTGCTATCCGTTTTCGTCCATTGTCGTCCGTTGTCCGTCGTGTGTCGTGTGTTAACATTTGAACATTTTCAGCTTCTTCTCTGAAACCACTGAACCAATTTCAACCAAATTTGATATACAGCATCTATGGGTGGAGGGGAACAAAAATTGTGAATTTCATGGTCCCCGCCCCCCTGGGGCCTGAGGGGTGGGGCCAAAACCACTAAAATTAATGAAATCTTTAAAAATCTTCTTCTTTACTCCTGGACATCAAGCAAGCAAACTATTGGCCTGAATGTAATGAGCATTGAGTCCTCTACCAAAATTGTGAAATTCATGGCCCCAGGGTCAGGGGTTCTAGTGCTAGGGCTGGGCTCTATAGATTATATAGTGAAAATGCATTATTTCTTTGAAAATCTTCTTCTCTGCTCCTGGGTATCAAATACACTAACTAAGCACATAGTTATGATGAGCAAGAGTGCCTCTTCCAGATTTGTGAATTTCATGGCCCCAGGGTCAGGGGTTCTGGTGTTAGGGCGGGGCTCTATAGATTATATAGTGAAAATGCATTATTTCTTTGAAAATCTTCTTCTCTGCTCCTGGGTATTTAATAAACAAATTAAGCATATAGTTATAATGAGCAAGAGTGCCTCTTCCAGATTTGTGAATTTTATGGCCCCAGGGTCAGGGGTTCTGGTGTTATGGCGGGGCTCTATAGATTATATAGTGAAAATGCATTATTTCTTAGAAAATCTTCTTCTCTGCTCCTGGGTATTAAATACACTAACTAAGCACATAGTTATGATGAGCAAGAGTGCCTCTTCCAAAATTGTGAATTTTATGGCCCCAGGGTCAGGGGTTCTGGTGTTAGGGCGGGGCTCTATAGATTATATATTGAAAATGCATTATTTCTTTGAAAATCTTCTTCTCTGCTCCTGGGTATTAAATACACTAACTAAGCACATAGTTATGATGAGCAAGAGTGCCTCTTCCAAAATTGTGAATTTTATGGCCCCAGGGTCAGGGGTTCTGGTGTTAAGTCGAGGCTCTATTGATTATATAGTAAAAATACATTTATTCTTTGTAAATATTTTTCTTTGCTTTTGGGTTTTAAGCCAATGATCCAAGTATATATTTATGATGAAGAAAGGTGCATCTAGAAAAGTGGTTATTAATGCCCCCAGGGTCAAAGGGGGGGGTGGTTACATAGCCTGAAAATAAATTAATGCTTTGAAATCTGCTCTTTGGTATTAATCAACCATTTTATGATAAAATTTGCAAAATTTTGAAATATGTGGCCCTGGGTCAGTGGTTCCTTTGGGGTGAGGTGCACAACTGGTTATAAAGTGGAAATGCATTTTCTCTTTGTTACTCTGATCTACCTCTGGGTATTAAGTAAATAGAGTAAGAATGCTAAGTTAATAATTATGATATGCAATGGTGCCTCTTTCAAAATTGTAAATTGTGAATTTCATGGCCTCAGGTTTAAACACGAACCAAATTTAATTGTTTGAAAGTTGTTACACAATACTCAGGTGACCTATAAGGCCCGTGGGCCTCTTGTGTAAATATTTACTCTACAAAAATAGTAAAATTTGCTAATTTTTTGCATTTTGAGATGCCCCCTCTGGTAACAAGATGGTAGAATTTAGTGTTTCTTGCATATATTGTATAATATAGTATTACTTATCAAATATTATAGTTTGGACAAAATGTCCATTGTAGTATTTGTAAAATTTGCTTTAAAGTGCTAAAAATTGGCATTTCCCTATATAATCCTATAGTAAATGTACCTGTATTTTGAGACGGTCCCTCAAAAATACCTGGATGGTAGATTTCCCCCAAACTTTGCATGTACACCGAAGTTAATGTAAGTTATATACTGTATAAAAATGAAAAGTTTCGCTATTGTAGTTTTCACACAGTAAAACTATAGTCGGCCCCCTTAAGATTTTTGATTCCTTTCTGCTTTGATTTTTGATTTCAGCTGAGTGAGATGGAGAAGAAGTACCGCGGTCTGGAGAAAGAGTTTGTAATTTATAAAGAACAACAGAACAGTAAACCGGAGGTCCGACTTCAGTCCGAAATCAACCTACTGACACTAGAAAAGGTACGTAACTCTTACATCTAACGCTAGAAAAGGTACCGGTATGTATTCGTTGTCTAACTCTAGAAAAGGTAGGCAACTCTTATTTTACTCTAGAAAAGGTATGTAACTCTTACTCCCAACACTAGAAAAGGTACATGACTCTTGCTCCTGATGCTAGAAAAGTTATGTAACTCTTACTCCTTATGTTAGAAAAAGTACTACGCAACTCTTACTCTAAGAATAGTAACTGGTGTAAAAAATTATCACCTCTCTTTACTTCTAGGGTAAACTTGAAAATAAAAAAAATCAATGCTTTAAGTTGATTTTCATGCCTTTGAAATAATGAGAGTTATTTCCCCTTAGGTGGAATTGGAGAGGAAGATAGATGCTCTGTCAAAGTCCAAGCTTCACTATAAGCAGCAGTGGGGGCGTGCCCTGAAAGAGCTCGCGAGATTAAAACAGAAAGAGCAGGCCTCGGCCAAGGCGGAGCTCAAACGGCAGCAGCAGGAGCTGGAGCACATGAGACTGAGATATCTCGCGGCCGAGGAGAAGGAGGTGGTCAACTCCGAGAAGAAAGAACTGGAGGAACTCAAGAACGAATTGTCTAAGTATGTTATGTAGGGAACAGATGGTAGCTAAATCTTCAGATTTATCTCAGGAAAGAATTTTCTAAGTATGTTGTGTAGGGAACAGATGGTAGCTAAATCTTCAGATTTATCTCAGGAAAGAATTGTCTAAGTATGTTGTGTAGGGAACAGGTGGGAGCTTTGATTTTGTAAGATGGTACCATTTAAAGAAATTTCAGAAAATAAAAAAAAAATAACCATGTTTTATAATGTGCTGTTTAAAATTGGATACAAAATTGAATTGGGTTTTTTGACCATGTTAGCATTTTTTGTTTGAAATAAGTTTTAACTGCCATACTGATAATTTCACCACAACTATTTTAGGTTGAAGAAGCTTGAGGAAGAGAAGGGTAAATTTGTGTCCGAGGACAGCCCGAGGGACGGGATGCACCCCCTGAAGGCGGATCTGGACTACAGTCTGGATGACCACATCACGCGTCTGATCGAGGAGAGGGACACGCTACTCAGGACAGGGGTGTACTCCACACAGGACAAAATCATCGCCGAGCTAGACCGACAGATCCGCGAATCCATAGCGGAGAAAAAGACCAACGCCTTATAGCAATCCGCAGGTGTCTACTCTATTGAGGGATGTATTCTGTCCAGGCAATGATTTCAAGTTTTTAACTCATATAGCATTGTAAATGTTTTACAGGAATTGTAGTAAGGGGGTGATAATAGATTTTGAAGCCTGTGTCTTACATGTATCTATGTGTCCCAGTAAAGTATGTATTTAAAGCGCTGCTTTCATTGTTAGCTTTTTAGTTCATTGCATTCATGTACAACATATGGAAATGTGAACATGCCTGTTAGTAAGTTTTTTTCATGAATGGAAATAAGGATATGTTGGTCTCATCTTTTTTAGATTGAATTTCTAGGAGATACAAATCAATTTTATTCTTCATTTCCTCCAAACCTTTTCATCAACATTCATTGACATGTATTTATATATCTACAGGTAGGTCATCATTATTTTCATTATTTGAAAGTTAATACAAATGTGATTAAATGAACTGTTTGGGTGTATAATTAGATGTTTGCTTGCCGGACACAGAAACTTCAAGATAGTCTTAGATTTAATTGTGTGTTAATTATTATCATTTTATGTAAATGTAGCTTTTCTCATTCTTATTGGTGTATTTATTGTTGTAAAAACATTTAATACAGGATTTTCTGAGAAAAGTGCTACACTCTTTTGTTATAAATTTCAACGAATTCCCAGTAAAAAGATGTTTACAAAATTAGCTGTAAAAGCATACTACTCTTTTTTCAAAAGTCAGAGAGTGATGTTTTTTAAAGAGTCAGAAAATTTTATATTGTAATAGGGAATACCTTCCTCTTCCTTCTGGTGTGTAGATAAGCTAGAGTAGACACGTTGTGAGATGTTAAATTATTCGGTGCGGATACGCTTTTTAGTTGAAATTAGATGCTTATATAATAAATTCAGATGTAGGTGGCTTAAACTCATATGATGGAAGTGGTAGCAGGTTGAAAGGAAAGAATTCAAATTTCTTCTAACTTTATTATTTATTGTATAATACAAAGAACAAAGAGTTGCTGTATGTTTATTTAAGCAATATTGTGATATGTAAATAACTCTATATGCTTAATACATCGTATATTGCCAATTGTACATGTACCTAACCTTTTAACTGAAACTTTGACCCATTAAATAATGAATATAAATGCATCTATAACAGTTTTATTTTTTTTTTATTTTTGAAAACATTATGTTCATAAAGTATAACTTTTTTTTTTTTATAAAGGAACGAAATGAAAATCTGAAGCCATATTGCACATCTACAGGAAATTACCAATTATATTCCGAAATTGAGCTTCTTTATAAAACTGAAGATGAATTCCACAAACCAGGCTGTTAGAAAAATGTAATGGCAAAAGTGTGAAAATAAGAATTCCAAAATCTTACTGATCATCTAGTTATCTACTATAAGCTGCAGATCTGTAGCGTTTGACATAAGACACATTTTGGTTCTATATACATGTGCATGTATTTGTCTTTGACTATGGTCAAAGACAAAAATATAAAAACAGAACGCTACAGATCTGCAGCTTGTTATCTACAGGATATAAATTATATTATATTGCAAAAGATGAACTGACCTCTAAGGATTTAACCTACATTCTCCAGATGAGTGACCAGATTCAAGTTTTAGGAGCTGGTCCATTCCCAAGTAACTATAAATCATACCTGGATTAAACTTGTATTGATGACTCATGGAGGGTTGGACACTTACAGACTTGCTTCAGATGCTGGATCTGACCTTTATTTTCTAGAACAAATTCTAGCCGTACGATAACCAAATTAGTATGGCTAGTGAATCTATTGATGGGGACTTCCAGACCAGCTTTGGATGCTGTTTCTGACATAAATTTTTTTGATGAATTACTAGGATAAAGCTTTTGGACTAGCTCAAATATGTTATGGCTGTTATAATTAAACTTGCTTGGATGATGAATCTTAGGATTGACACTTTCAGACTTGCTCCAGTTGTTTGAACTGACAGATTTTTTTGAAGCAGGTCATTTCTAAAGAAGGAACCAAACTTCTTGATGGATATTGATCTCAGAATGCACACACTTACTAGGAAAAAAATTATATGTTATTTTCCTTATTTTAAAATAGATAACATTAGTGGATGTAAGCTTCTTAATCTTTGATTGTCTATGTTTTTCTTGATAAGTACTCTTTCAAATACCCCCTTCCCCCTTTCAATTCGATTCCATCTCGGTAGTGTTATTCAGTTGTTGAAACGAGAATCCTATGAAAATAAAAAGAACGTTTGTAATAGCTTTGTCGAACTCGTTTAAAATTGTGCATATTCGCACTGCAAACCTCGCGAATTTACACATTTCAACGAGTTGGATCAAGCTAATTCCAACTCACAATATACACGTAGACATCTTCTATTTCTACATATAGTATAAACTGAATCTATCAAAATAAATGTATATAGGTTTCATCTATTCATATTTTATTTGTTTGATTAGGCCATAAGTATCGGAAGGAAATTGAAAGTGCGGAGAGGGGGGTGGAACCATCCAAAAAAATTAGAGGAACCTAACCCTGATTTTCAATTGTTATATTTACCCCCCCCCCCCCTCCCGATGCCTATGACGGCCTACATTATTCATCCATGATCTTAAGAAATTGGAAATCCAACATTTATGTCTTTCACTTCATAAAAATTAATTTTCTTATCTTAGAAGAATGTAGAAACAGGTAGATATCATTGTAATCCTGTCATTTCCCGAGGAAAAAGATTTTGCATCCATTGTAAAACTCTTGTTGAAGACGAAAGACACTTTTTACTTGATTGTCCTGTATATAAACATGTCAGTGAAAAATATTTGAGAGATATTACTAGATGTTAATACTTAATCTTGTTTGCGTAAGCCCCATAACCTTGTTTCTACAAAACAAATATGACTATCTGATTATCGGAGACCATATATTTTAATATCAGAAATAAGCTTAAAAAAATATTTTGTAATGTATTAGTATATATATATGTGGCTATCAACACATTGTTGTAAAATGTGCTTAAAATTTAAATAAAAGAAAAATAAAATTTTGGATCCCTTCTTCGTGATCGGGGTAGAATCAGGAAGTGTCAATATTATGTGGGTCGACAAAGAAACATCACCTGACATCGGAAGATAACGGTCACCAGGAGAGTAAACCCAGTGAAGGTAATATTTTTCTAATTTTTCTGTCATAAAATTCCTGTAAGACCTTATTTTGATTTCTCTTTTACTTAGAGATACTTAGTACATTTTTGGATTACAGTATTTTTTTCTAAAAAAAATGAGGGGTGAGGGGGCTTTAAAATTAGATTCCATGCACCCGGTCCCAATTATATCATAATTTTTAATCTTGATCGCATTGTACGAGGGGGGGGGGGGTAAGAGGGCGTCTTCGTGTGATCCATGTCCCTTATCACGCAAAGTTTAGGGTCCACATCTTCATAAATTTAAATTAAACGAAACTCCCTTTAAAATGACGAAGTTGTCCGAATTGCAGAACCTAATAAGACTGCCCTAAAATATAATTTTTATGAGCACAGTGATACGCACAATGAGAAAGATACGTAAAGATAAACTAATCCTTATTAATTCTATACTCAACAAAAAAAAAAAAAAAGAAAAAAGAAACACATTTTCAGATTAAACATGACATCTAAGTTTTCACTTTAAGCCTTATATGATTTAAAAGCAATTTAAGAGGGTGTACACGTCGTGATAAAAATCAAACATGTCTTAGGTTGTATATTGAAAAGTTAATTTGATGTCATTGTCGTCGCCTATCAATTCTAGGAGCATACCATTTTAACCAATCCATGTCTTTTGCAACGTCTCAGCGCTAGTGGATTTCAAATGTTGGGGAATAGTTTACGAATACCAGCTCCTCTCGAACTCTTGTGAACAATTTGTGTACTTTTATGCTGATTTCTTCAACCAGCAATTGTAGCAGCAGTTTGTACTACAGTTCTGAATCGATTGCACAGGTTCTGAACGGGGGTCTGACGGTCCTGTCTGGGTGTGGTAACGCGCGGTTTTTGGTCTATCAAGCTTGTTTCTTACTTGTTGGAGACGTACGTTTAACCGCTGCGAAGCCGATTGATGTACACCAAATGCAGTGGAAAGTACCTCCTGTTGCGTAGCCCCAGTTATCATCATCGTTAGCCCGGTTGCGTTCATCCTTAGCTTCGCATTGCAGCATCAAGATTGCAATGAAATCTTAAATACTGTATTGGTTTGATAGGAGTGGTAATTGTTTCTCTAAATCCAAAATAATAATGAAAATAAACCCTCAATTTACAAGAAATCATGTAAAACACTATTTTCATAAAGATTACTCAAGGGAAATAATTCAACATTTCGGTTTTAAAAGCCCATGCTGTCCTTTAAATAGGTCACAAGTATCCAATGATGAAAAAGATAGTTGTTCCAAATACATTTTTGAAAATTTCTCTGATGAGTAAAATAGTATGCGTTTCTTTTTTTGTTGAGTATATAGGTAATATACAAGCTTAAACAGAGAAACCACACATGGATCCCTGGGAACAACATGCAAAGTAGGATCAGGTGACACTCTCTTTCACGCCTCCTGAGAACCCTTATGGTAAAAAAAATTTAAATAAAATTTTGATAAAGCACAATCTAGATACATAAAAATTACTACAAATGAAATTAGATATACTTGTTCCGACTATTGTCTTTTGTTCTTTTTTTAAAATTAAGATCATGTTCTCTTATTTTCCTTTGCAGACCTTTTGTATTATACTAATTTAAAAGAATGGAAGGCCGACCCCGTGCCCAGGACGTGATGCGTTGTGCCATTTGCAACACTGCCGTGGTACGGATGCACTGTGATACATGTCTCGTTAATCTGTGCACAGCTTGTGTAGGTAAACATATGATTTCTGATGAATCCAATCTTCACCAAGTCGTCA